TATGCTTCCATGTCATTGAATCTACTCTGTTCATCAGTTTATTAAGTTCTTTAGATTCCACGTATAAGCGAGATCATGTGATATTTTTCTTTCGCTGCCTGGCTTATTTCACTCAGCATAATTTTCTCTGGGTCCATCCATACTGTCCCAAAGGGTACGAGATCCTTCTTCTTTACAGCTGCGTAGTATTCCATGGTGTTAATGTCCCACAGCTTTTTTATCCACTCAGCTACTGATGGGCACTTTGGCTCATTCTTTCTTTTTTTATTTTATTAAATATATCTTTATTGATTTCAGAGAGAGGAAGGGAGAGGGAGAGAGAGAGAGAGAAACATCAATGATGAGAGAGTCATTGATCGAGCCCGCAACCCGGGCATGTGCCCTGACCGGGAATCGAACCCTGAGCACCTGGATCCTAGGTCGACGCTTAACCACTGAGCCACGCCCGGCTGAGCTGGCTCATCCTTTCTTAACTCCTCTTAGTTCTAGTGGAAATAATGTGAAATTCTTTAAGAAGGGACATAAACTGGAAAGTGCATCAAAGAAAGTGGTTGGGATAAAACCACATCCATAAGGACAGTAAGAGGGACTGAATCTTGAGAAGAGATGACTCAGGAGGATACAAAAACTATATTAAAATCCCCTCATTTATAGCTAGTAACAATAATACCTAACAACATGACGGACTTAAAGTGTGTCAGCTATTATTGGAAGTGCTTTATGTATATTAATTTTTTAAATTCTTGCAGCAGCCCATAAAGCAGTCACTCCTTTTTGTTGTTACCATTTTACAGATGATAAAACTGAGTCATAAGATGCAGAGATCTTAAGGTCATTTATATAATGGAGCCAGATAGTCAACCTATGCAACCTAACCCCAGAGTAGGTGCTTTTAAGTTCACATTTGTGCAACAAAAGTGTATTGAATAGCAGTTCTCTCTAAAGCACTTTGCTTGAAACCCTTAGAGACCTGAAAATGGTTAAGTTATGGATTCTGCTCTCATTAAGTTTGCTGTTCATACAATTTAAATGGCTATTATGTGCAAAGGAAATTATATCCATTTTGAATAGTAGAACCCCAAGTGATGTAACAACAACCAGAGATGAAATGTATGGAAACGTTCATTTGGTCTTTATATAAGAAAGATGTTTAATAAGACTTGCTCCATGGGGCATGAGGTTTTTATTACTCAACAGGCCTGATTTTTCTGGTCACATCTGCCTGTGATATAGTGGGCAGCCTCAGAAATTAATGTGGTCTTGGTCACTGAAAATGAGACACAGAGTTTAAGTGACCTGCCCAAGGTCATAGAGCTTATAGTGAATGTCAGAACCTGTTTGAATAAATTTTAAAATGAGGACTGCTTTTTTAAAAAATTGTTACACTATTACAGATGTCTCCCATCCCCTCTACCCTTTACTTCCCTCCATCCAGAACCAGCCCCCACTGGCCTTCACCAAATTGTCGTCTGTGTCCATGGGTTATGTATATATGCATATATGTTTTTGATTAATCTCTTCTAGTCCCTCTGCCCCCTTCCCTCTGAGATCTGTCAGTCTGTTCCATGCATCCATGCCTCTGGTCCTATTTTGTTCAGTTTTTGTTTTTTTCCATTAGTTTCCACATATAACTAAGATCGTATGTATTTAAGTACCAAGGAAATAAAGAAGCAGTAGTCATATTGCTAGAAGAACTATGATGCTGGGAGGACAAATAATGTGGATGGGTTGTTAAAACGAATAAACTGAATTAAGTCAAAATGTATCTGCTTGGCAATGTGTAGACAGCACCTTAATAAGACAATAGCAAAAAAAAAAAAAAAAGATTACTGAAGATTCCAGGAGTCTGGGAATGCAGCCTGGCTTGTTCACTGTGGGTTCCCTGCATGGAGGAAGATTGCCTGAGACATAGTTACTAGCTGANGTGCATGGAGGAAGATTGCCTGAGACAGTTACTAGCTGATAGCTGACATTCATATTCTGGTTAAAAAATGAAAAGCTACCTACAGCCAATTTATAGTTTGTGTTAACACAAATTTTAAAGAGAAAGATTATAAGTAGTTGTTTATTAATAAGTATTTTTATAGTCTCTGGTTTTGAAAACATCATTCATTCATAGTAACTTTACTTCATATTTTATTGTATAACCAGTTTTTTAGCTTCCATTTTTCCCCCAACAGTTTTGGGATATTTCAGCTACAAAGTAACCTAATAAGGCATATGTTTCCTTTAAATAACAATACTGTTATACAGCCTTAGCGGATTTTTCAGAAAACAATATGCTCTTTCCTAGCATAATACTAAAAATGCAAATCTTTTTTCTTTTTCCTATGATCCAGCTGCTCTTTTATGCCTACATTTTATATCTGACCTTTTCTTTTGTTGTAGTCCAAATAACTTTGAGGTTTTCTCAAGTTGTCCATTGTTGCACAGAAATCTTCTAGCTCTTTGTATGAGTACAGCCTACTCATACACAAGAGATTGTTAGCGACAGGAAATTCCTCCACCAAAATAACTTCTTGCTCCTTAAAATTCAGCAAACATCTGCACTCACTGTATTTATTTTATATTCAATGGTGCACTATTTTTATAAATTCCTAAGCTAGGCTAGGGGTTTTTCCTTTGGTAAGAAACCATGTATTAGAAAGAAGTACATGTATACTGTTGGGTTAACTATGATCCTTCCTAACAAGTGACAATGTGTTCAGCTTAAATCTTTATGAGAAAAGTATGTCTCCATGTATGTATTTATTTTGCATTTAGGCATGCCAGAAGAATTCACAGAAGATACTGAATATCAGCACAAGCTACATATGGTTACAAAACAGTGTTTCAGGAATGATATTCACAAACTGGTCCTAGCGTCTTTGAAGAGGGTATGTACAATATAGGTTTTCTGCCTTTATACTGTTAAGTGGAATATGAGATTTGCAGAAATAGGGGGCATTTTTAGTATAAGTTTTCTGTCTCCTGTTTACTCTGATAGTAGGAGGTTATGTGGTTTCAGAAGGCATGTGGTAAGATGACAATAGGGATGTAGGGGTGCCATTCCCGCTGGGATAAGTATACTATTAACTACAACTATCAACTGTGAGTGTCCTGTCAGCTCCTGGCTTGAAGGGGTTAATTTGAATGCTAGTATCATAAAGACACTCACGTTTGCCCAGCCGGAGAGGGAACTGAGGAGCTAGGCCTGTAGCTGAGCCTCAGGAGCTGTGTCGGGAGCCGTGGCTGCTGTTTTCTCTGTCTCCTTCCAGCTGCTGCTTTTTCTTTTCTGGTCCTATTTCGAGATTTTCAGCCCATAAAGACACATGCAGTACAACTTGAAAGTCTTCCCTGATGGCCTTGGCTTGGTTTCGTTGCTCACCTCAGAGATAACCTCTGAAGTGGTTCCTTGTGCATTGTCTCTTCTCATTTTTAGGTAGTTCCGTATCTATGCATATTTGTGAAAATATATTATAATTAATACAATCAGTAAATCATACTAAGTATGAAAAGAGGGGAAGAGAGAAATTATGTTTATATTGTTCAAGACAAAGGTATTGACGGTGTTAAGATGGTTTGGAAGTTTAACATAATATAAATTGGGTCTTTATAAAAGATCTAAGAGTAAAGACGTAAAGGTTAATTAGGGTTAATGTTTTTATGAAAGGAAGAGGGCAATCAAGGTCATTAATGGAACTGAGTCCATGTGATTTAATATACCTTGAAAAATGTCATGAATTAATTAGAATATAGCCTGCAGAGAGATCTTTACAAATTCAATTTCAGCTGAACTTGATCATGTAATTGTCTATGATATATAGGAGACATTTGTACTCAAACCTTAATATGATTCTTGAATATAGCAATATAATAGGTTGGATTTGATTCTAGGAATATTTGATAAAAATAAGTATGTGGAAGGAACTGTGTTAGGCACTGAGAAGACAGAAGTGAATACGTTTTGTACCCTGTGTCATGGATCCCATAATCTAGCTAGGGGGATTAAGGCATGCATGAAGCCAGTTCTATGTTAGCATTTGTGAGCTATTCTAGCGTCATGAACAGTACTCTAGGAACATAGAGAGGGCAGCAGTTAATTGCATTCATGGTGTGTGTCTGTGAGGAGCAAGAGGTACCAGAAAAGCCTTAAGATAGCTCTGATTCTACTTAGCCCATGTTTTCTAAAGTTACTGAATGTGAGTGTGATATAGCTGAGTTGGGAGTCAAGAGACCCAGCTCTGCCAGTTATACCGTGAGACCAAGAAAATTAGTCAGCTCCCAGGTTTTATTTATTTATTTATTATTTATTTATTTATTTATTTATTTAGATTATATAATCCCAAAATAAGTGGTTGAGAAATCTTTCCACACTCTTATTTTCCATGCCAACATCTGAATAATGACACACAGCATCTCACTAAACAGTGAGTGTCATTCGGGGCTGGGGAGTTAAGGTCATGGGTAAATAGAAGTGACTTTTTCTTAAAAACAAACAAACATACCCCTGTGTTATTCCCCTGATCCTTCACCACGGTTAATAAAAATGCTCTAAAAGATAAATATAAATATTTCTTTAGCTCTAAAATTCTGTGATTGCACTCTGAATAAAAGTTACAAACATCACAGGCTTGTCTGTGATATAGGTGACTCATTTGTACTCAGACAATATGATTCTTGAATATAGCAATATAATAGTTTCAGTTTGATTCTGGGAATATTTGTTGAAACTAAGCATGTGGAAGGAACTGTGTTAGGCACTGAATTCCATGTTCATATTACATATCTCCCAGGTAATTCATTGCATCTGCAAATACTACAGAGACAATGAAATCAATTATCATAAAAAAAAGTCTGTTCTTGGGGAGCAGAATTCCAAATAAGGTAAAACCCAAGTTCAACTATGATTTACAAAGCAAAGACTATGAAAAGTGTTTATTTAAGTGAATCACTGTTTGGATATATATAATTCCAATAACAGCCAGGCTGAAGTTAAAATCTGTCTGGAACAGTGATGTTCCATTTATGCCTGATCCTTTTAGGTTTTTTCACACTTGAAAACCTCCAGTCATCTGTTCCAGGGAGATCAATTTGCCCAGTATTATTTCCAAAAGAACAAAGTAGAACTAGATCTCCCCTCATTTTGGCTGGATGGGCTTTGTGTGCAGTGACATTGCTACTGTCTTTAGCAGGGGAACTTATAGAGTCGAACCAATCTACTGATTAAATGGACGCAGACCCAGGAGCTTGTGCCCTTCACAGAGACCTTGAAGCAAAATGTACCCAGTTTAAATATTGGAGATATTTATTTCAATTGTAAATAATACATAGGGAGAGAAAAAGCCCATTTACAAAAATAACAACAACAAATGAAATCACATAAGAGTAAAGTAAAAAAATGGTTACAGGACTAAAGGAAACTATGAAACTCAACTGAGAGTTACGAGAGAGTTGAACATAGGACAATGTATACCGTCTTTTTTGGTAAAATGACTATTTTTTTAAAAAAATGAAAATTGATCAATATGAATCCTTAAGAGAAGTAACAATAGTATTATTTGGAACAAGATAAGCTGGTATAACATTGTGAGAAAGTTAATTAAATAACTAATATGCATGAGTAATCAGGAGAATTTTGGAAAATGAGAATTAATATGGCCCAACTCCAACAGATAATACAACATATGAAAACACTATAGTAATTAAAATGGTGTGACATTGGCAGTGGAGAGCATAGATCAGTGCCACATAATGGTGATTTAGGAAACAAGCTCAAATGCACATGTGCAATTTATATATGATATTCCCCCAAGAGGGGGGCGGATAGTTAGCTCAGGAACTTGTGTTGGAGTAACTAACTCTGCAGCCTTGTTGGGAAAGCAAAGAAAGCTTCGTATTTACCAAAACTCATTACACATGGATGAGATTTAAAGGTAAAAATAAACATATGGAAAGGGTCTCAAGTATGATCATTGCTAATGAAATGTAAATTAAAATTTTAATTTGGGGGTAAATTTAGCAATATCTGTTAAAAGTCAAACAGACACGTTTTCTGACCACAGTTCCACTCTAAGAATTTATAACATAGACATACTTGCACAAGCACACAAAGAGTCTTTAAACAAGAATATCATTGTGGCATTATTTGTGGAAAGACAAATGTGGCAACAAACTAAATCCTGTGTGGTAACCATTAGCGCTGTTTGCCAGGTGTTTTCAGTTCTCCCCCTTCTGGTGATCCTGGTATTTATTCGCCCTTTTGTAGTTAGGTTGAATCATGTAACTAGTTTTGGCCAAGGAGTAGTAAGTGGAGGACGATTGTCATTTCTGGACCAGACATTATGTTCCTGGCGAGCCGGCTTTCAGGAGGACATCCTCTCAGGCCCGATGACCTTATCGTTTGGGGTGGTGGCTGCTCCATCAGCAGAGGCCCCTGAGTGACTGCGATGAGCAGATGCCCCTCCTGCCCTGTAACACACGGGAAGCATGAGTGAGAACTGAACTTATTTCTGTTTTCAACATATGAGAGTTTGGGATTGTTATTACAGCTTAATTTAGTCTATCCCAACAGTATAATGCCTATCAAGAGATCCTAGTTAAATAAATTACACTGCTTCCAAATTATATAATTCTGTGTAGAGACTAAAAACTAGTTCAGACTCCTCTTGTGTTCCCGTGGGAAATCCCCATTTTTCCTTGACTATGAACCTATCTCCCAGGTAACTCACTTTCTTTCATGTGTGTGAACATTATGGACACTGTAACGAATTAGTGTGTGTTCTCTTATGTCTTCACCTCCCCCTTCCCTCTGCCGCTCACTCAGGGCAGATTATACAGCATTTGCCTTTATAGCTTTGCCGGAACCAGATTTTCTGATAGTTAAGTTTGTGGGCCCTGGGATTAGGATTCTGGGTTTGAAGCTGGCTCTGCCACCTACACACTAATGTACCCTGGGCAAGTTACTGAAACAGAGATGATAAACAGTTTTTCACTTCGGGTTACTATGAAGGTGTTTATGAGAGAATTGATGTAAAGCACTCCGTGCAGTGCTCAGGACATAGTAGGTGCTCAGTAAATGGCAGTTGATGTTACCTGTTTTCTCACCCACCAACTTCTGTTAAATTCTACATTGACAGAGCCTATATTTACGTTCAGCTCTGTAACCATACTTCCTAAGTTTGTTTTCAGCTTATTTCTGTAGTTACATGGATTGTATGTTCACTGCAAGTCCTTTTGGTATAGGTTTTCCGCTCATCTTTCAGTTGTCTGAGTTTCTTTAAAAAAGATCTATTGCCTGAGCACTAGAATATTGTTATTGGTGCTGGTGGTGTTTTATATTTGGACTCTTGAAAAGACATTTTGGTTTGTTGTAAAGTATCAGGGTTTTAGTTTCTTTCTTTGAAAACTTTGTAGGCAGTTCACTGTCTTTTAGTACTGAATGTTTTAGTGCAGAAGCCTGAGACCTGCTTTTTTACATTTTTTTAAATGATGATATTTTTACCTGTCTGCTCAGGGGAATATTTTTCATGAAATCCAAATACTTTATTAGGATATATCTCAAGGTTAGTCCTAGACTGTGATGCCTTCTTTCTAGCTGTACATTAATCTTTTTTCCCCTCTTTTTTTCTGGAAAGTTTTCCCTGAACTGCAGTTGACTTAGCTGGAAGCTAGGTAAGAGCCTAGCCTTAAGCTGGCTAGCCCTCTCAATCAGAGAAACCATTTTAGTTATTTATGTATTCTCTGAAAACCTTGGAAACTTGTGGAGCATAGATGGTGGGATGTTTCTAAGTAATGTTTGTACGTGTCCTTCCATTGGCACTCCCAAAGATTTCATTTAGTCAACACTTGCTAAATATAAACTAGTAAATTAGTTTTAACCTCTATTTGAACCATAGTGCAATAAATTACTATTTTCAAGGTATAAGATTAGATTAAGTGAAAAAAGTTCATCATGGGCTTATAAATATCATATATATACACACAAACATGTATATATATGAGTGTGTATATTTTTTTCAAATTTACAAAACTGTCAAAAATTAAATAAGCACTATTTTAAATTATCAAATAGTTTGTTTGAACTCCATCCCTTTTAATAATGTGACACACTGAATTCTCTTTTTGCATAGACACATCACAGATTTCCTGTTGCAAGGCATTAGTCATTGAATTACATCTGAAATAGGTAGAAATTAGGGGACCTCAAGGCAGCAGAGCTACTAATTGAGTAGAAACTTGTTAGAGGTGATGATATTAAGGACAAGAACAGACACATTATAAATACCAGTTTGATTTAACTTTTAGCATAAAAAATAAGCCTGTGATGCATTTTGAGCTTAGGAGCAGGACCAGATACATAATTTGTGGGGCCCAGTACAAAGTGAAAGTGCAGGACCCTTGTTTGAAAATTATAAAGAATTTCAGGACGGTGGCAGCAGAGCATTAAGCCGAGCATGGGGCGCTCCTAGGCACAGAGCCCTGCAGGACTGCACAGGAGCACACCTGCGAGGCTGGCCCTGCCCGGGAAGCAGGAGTGCCGGTGCTACTAATCAGAGTTCAGAATGACAATATGACTTTTCTGGGAAAAGATGATAAACTTTTGGCTTTGAACATCAGAGTTTAAGATACTGGGGTCAAGCAAAAAGAAATGTAGGCTGATCTCTTAAGAGAGTTTACACTTGTGCTTTAGTTATTTGCCCAAAAGTTTCAGTGTCTCAGTTTTTTTTGTGTTTTTTTTTTTTCCATTTATAAGATAGAGCTAATAATAGTGTGGCTACATTATAGGGTTGTTGTGAAGATCAAATGAGTTAATCTATATGAATTGCCTGAAGGAATGTCTGGCACATAGCATGTGTTCCCTGGGTTTTGGCAACATCCTCGAGTGGCTGCTCTTGTTATGGTGACCCGCAGCCCTGTGAGTGTATGAAGTCCCATCTAGGAACAGAAGGGTTTTAAGAAAAGGACTTTGGACAGAGTTTGGGGTTGAAAGAAGAGATTATAAAGGAGATGGGCAAAAGCATGGCTTTAAAGGTTGAGAATAATTAGGGGCGTATTGTGTCATGGAAACCAAGGGAGGGAAAAGCAGTAATTAAAAGGACTTTTTTCTTTGAATGGTTTTCATTCATTCGGAGTGGTCAGGACAGAAATCTGATTATATGAAATTAAGGGGTGGGGAGAATGTAGAGTTGGAGGGTGTAGACTTTTTTATTAATATGTTTAGAAATGAAGGGAAGTGTAGCTTGATGGAATGGAAGACTGATTTAAGTATACTCTGTCTCCCACTTAGAAGTACTTTGAGATGTCAGTCCCAGGCCTGAACTGTGGCCATCACTCAATGTTTATTATGTAATGAGTTCTCATTTCATCCTCAAAGGAACCCAGCATTATTAGGATCATTTTATCTTATTTTTAATATTAGTTTTCAATTACAGTGGACATTTACTATTATTTTATATTTGTTCCTGGTGTACAGCATAGTGGTTAGACATTTAATTTACCAAGTGATCCCCAGATATTTCAAGTACCTACCTGGAATTAGGATCATTTCAGAGGCAAGGAAGGTGAGACAGATCTGAGCTTCACTTTGCACCACTTTTAAATTTTTAAATATTTCTTGAATAACACCTTCTGGGTAAATACCACTTGTGAGAAAATGTTATTTAATTCATCTTAATGGTGCTGAAATTCATGGAACTGTTAAATGATGAAACAGAATTTAAACCCACATTTAATTAGCTCTAATGTTGATGTACTTTTACTACCCAGAGATATGTTAAGATGGAAATAATGACAGGAAAAAGGGAGGCGCAAGGATGGAATGGTGTCCAAGCTGAGCGGCGAGGCCATGGAGGAGAGGTTCTAGGGATTTTTGCCACAAGCATTTTTTGCCATAACATCTTTGCCACAAGCATTTTTGCTGTATGACAAAATGGCTCTAAGGCAATTTCTCAAAGGTAAAATAGCTGGTTGACGTTTGGTTTTACATTTGACAGACTTAATGTATTTCAGCTAGTTGTCAGTCTGGTTTCAGTCCTCCATTGACTACATTCTTGCAGTGTTCCCATTTTTCTATTCTGTAAATCTCAGCCCTCAGAATGGTCTCTACAGTAAGGAGTTGACAAGGTGATCCTAAAAGTGGATGGTAAGTACTGTATGTGAAGCCAGATTGTATATAATATTAGAAAATGATAATGCAGTTTGCAAATCCTTTGATGAGCAGTCATCCCTCCCACCTGTCAAAACCAAAAGTTTACCAAACTATGGCAAATAGGATAGATCTGGCTACTAAGTCACAACAGTTTCGAGAGCATGAATTATTGCTCCTTTAGTGGGAAACTGATGCCTCCTTAAGGAAGGAAAAATTAGCAAGCGTGCACAAGTGTGAAAGTAAACAAGGAGAGGAATCCACAAGCCAAAAAAAAAAAAAAAAAAAAAGGATACAGTAGAATACTATGAACAAAAGGCTTCCAAAGCAGTGTATGTTCATGTTCATTTTTCACAACAAAGTTTTTAAAATTTTGTTATTAATTTTTTCATGTTTTATTTTGCCCTTTTAAAATGTCCCTTTTACCTTTTTTGTTATCTCACCTTTTATGGTGAAATGTGTGCAGTATCTCCAGCAGCACGCTTAGGGCAGAACCCACCGGACACGTGGCGAAGGGCTCCGGGCGAGAAGAGGGCCCTTAGCCACACCCTGGGCGCAGAAGGATCCTGAGCAGGGGCAGTTGAGAGGCACCGAGGGACGAGACTGGTAGAGGAGTGAAGATCTGTTCTTTGACAGGATGGAAGTGAGACAGGTGACAGGTTTTGGTTGAAAGGGTGGCACCAGAGCTGACAGCCTGGCTTGAAGCTACTTCAGCTCTGTGGTGACCTGTGCTGGCGTCAGTTGGAGGTTTGGAGTGGAGATGCCATGAGACCAGGGTCTGTGAAAGAATAAGTCCTGAGAAGAATAGCGCTGGAAGTTTTGAAAGGAAAGCTATTGATTGGGTGGCCATTCACATCATGGGAGAAGTCAGGAGAACATCATGGAAAGCAGAGATGGGCCGTGTAAGAGGTAGCTTTATGCCACAGACTTAAAAAGGGGGAGGCGTGGCTGAGGTGGTCCCGTGGTTGGAAAGTGCATTGACTGTGTTCCTCTCAGTCAGTGAGCAGGGGGCGCGGGGAAAAAGAAGTGGCCTCTATTGTAGAATATCACTAAATAATGTGAAACCATCTGGAAGAATGGAGATGAAAATGTTGGAAGTGGATTGAGATCCTGGGCTTTTAAGGCAGACGTATTTACATTCAAGTCTCAGGCCTGACACTTATTAGCTGTGTGGCTTCAGCTCTTGTTTCCACATCTTTAGAGTGTGGTGAACCTATTGCCTGAGGCTGCTGAGGGGAAATGAATGAGATGAGGCATGTAAAGCCCTTAAAGACTCAATTCTCTATTAGTCTTTTCTGTGGTGACAGGCAGTACTGCACTGTACTGATTAAACATGCAGGCTGTGGGATCGGGCATCCCTGATATGGTCTTAATTTAGCAATTTACGATCTGTGTGACTGTAGGAATGGTTACCCAAGCCCTTAACTGTTAGTGAACTCATCTCTATTGGCAATGAAATTAGTGTGTATTTAATAAGATTATGAAAAGGCCCAGTTGGCGTGGCTCAGTGGTTGAGCATGGACCTGTGATCCAGGAGATCGCAGTTCGATTCCCGGTCAGGGCGCATGCCCGGGTTGCGGGCTCGATTCCCAGTGGGGGGCGTGCAGGAGGCAGCTGATCAGTGACTCTTGTCATTGATGTTTCTCTCTCTCTCTCCCTCTCCCTTCCTCTCTCTGAGATCAATGAAGACATATTAAAAAAAAAAGATTATGAGAAGAAAATGCATGTAAAGTATTTAGCAGAGTGCCTGGCACAGAACAGGTACTCAATACGTATTAGAGTGTTAGCTTTTGTAAAAATTTACTTCATTTTATTTTTTTTGTTAATTCTTACCTGAGGATACTGTTTCCATTGATTTTTAGAGAGTGGACAGGGAGAGGGTGGAGAGAGGGAGAGAGAGAGAGAAATAAGAGAGAGAATCGATTGGTTGCCTCCCGAACACACCCTGACTGGGGCTAGGATCGAACCTGCAACCCAGGTACATGCCCTTGACTGGGAATCAAATCCGCAGCTCTTCAGTGTGTAGGCTGCTCTACCACTGAGCCACACTGGTTAGGGCTAAAGTGTTAGCTTTTTAACCTTAATAATGAATAATAGTAATTAATAGTATGAGGCAGAATCAAGGATAGTAATCTTTAGATGCTTAGTTTATATCTGATCAATCTATAACTGGCTTTAACTAAGTATTAAGAACTCATTTTTAAAAGCAAATATTTTTTCATTGTCCTTTTGATTTTAGTTCATTGGAAATCCTGGGATTCAGAAATGTGGATTGAAAGTAATATCTTCTATAGCACATTTTTCTGATGAATTAGCTGTGCTATCTCTGGAAGTTGCGATTGAAACCGTGCTTCAAACACTGCAGATGTATCCGGATGACCAAGGTTGGTACAATTCAAACTCATGGTTTAGAGTAGATTTTTATAGGTCTTAAGCTGCTGGTGGAATGTCTTTAATTTTTTCTTTAGTTTTGAGATTTAAAACAATTAATTTTGTTCATTTTTTTCCCTTTATTCTTCTAGAAATTCAGTGTCTGGGTTTAAGTCTTATAGGATGCTTGATTACAAAGAAGAATTTGTTCCTAGGAACTGGGCACCTGCTGGCAAAGATTCTGGTTTCCAGCTTACAACGATTTAAGGATATTGCTGAATTACAGACTAAAGTATGTGTATTATCCTGAAGAGAATTTAATCTTGTGCAGATTTCTCTTTCAGAGCAATTGGTATAATTCCCACTTTACATTAATGAAGATATTCTAGTTAATTAAAAACCATCTATAATTTTTTAGTGTTTTAATTAGAGAAGGTGAAGAGAAGTAGATTGACTCTCTAAAGATCCTGAGTTTCATCATGAAATCTCTAAAATCAGCATGTTTGTCTTTTCCATGAAAGAGCAGAGAGTGTGCTAAAGAAATATCAGGTAGCTGAGCTTCATTTGCATAGATTTTATCTAAATAGAAGTTAAAATTATTCTGAAGTTTGTCATTCTCTGTGTTTTGTTGTGGGGTGCTTCCCTGTAGTATTTTTGCCCCTTGAATTTTTTTTCTTACAGTGAAACAATATTTTTAAGATTTTTTCATCAAGAAAAATTTTAAATGTGATATATAATCACTGTTTTTGTTAGGAATCCAAGATATTGGCTTAGAGTTAATTAAGGCGAGATTCAAGAAATAAATTGTTTCAGGATGTTCTTTTCCCTCCACTGTTGGGAAAACAAATAGTTTCTTTAGGATTTTCTCTCTTGGTTGTGGTTTCAGTAATAGAGTTTGCAACTTTCATAAACCTCCTTCAGCAAATAATTTCATAAATGGTAGCACTGACCATGAATAAACACGCCTAGGTTCTAACCTTTGCAGAGACGTTATTAGTAAGTGAGATAATGGATAGAAAGTTTTAAATTATAAAGTGCTGCTAAAAATACAACATTCTTAGATTATAAAGAACAATGCCTTTTATAAATCTGATTTTTATAATATGCCTCCACCTGGACTGGGTAAAGCCAAGGCAGAATTGATTAAACGTAATCCAAAGGGAAAGAAATGATTTTGTGCAGGTGTGGGACTCTCAGATACTCAGTGTTAATTTATCTAGGCATAAATTCTACGATCTCTATAGCAGAGGTTGTAAACTATTGGCCAGGGGGCTGAATTCGGCCCGCCAACATATTTTATTTGGCAAGTTGTGTGTTTATATGTTTTTGATTTGAATCATGTGCCTCCTTCACATGTGCATTACCTGCTTCCCTGCTGCATTCATTTGAGTTTGCAGGGACCTCTGCTCTAGAGGTGGGGAGACCACTTGTCCCTTAGACCTGCCTAAGTTAAGACTACTTCTCATATCAAATGTAGGACGTATTTGTAGAAACTCAGCATCTTAAGTGCTCAAAGTAATTATTTTAATACTTAGATGGTTTCATTAACACAGATATTAAAAATCTAAAAAGTTAAATTGACATTTGGTGAGTTTACCAAAACGGAATAATAGTGAAGCCAAAAGTTCATTCTTTCCTTCACATATCACCTGGGTGGAGAGCCCAGACAGCTCTTGGAAATATTACTGAAAAATAAGGGGGGACTGATCAGTTCTTTATAAATAATTTGCTTCAAGGATGTAAACTGCAGAGTGCCTCCAGAGCGTCTCCGAACATGAATGAAATCCAGGGCTCACATTTGTCTCTTTGAGGTTAAAATTTTAAAAGAAAGCCCAAAATGTTTGGAAAATGCTGGGCTGTCTAGAGAATCTCATTACAATCTTATAATAAAAATGTTACTTTACCGGCTTATTTGGGTCTGTCACCGTGCTGACTGTGCTGTTCTCATCCAGATTAATATCTGGTTTTCATCTTGTAGGATTGATTTCAGACAGGGACCTTTAAAAGCCAAATATTAGTGGATTAGGTATTTTTCCTGCTTTGCTAGACAGTAGTTTGTTAGTTAGCATTTTGTTCTCTGTGCTCCTGCTGTATTTCTTAGTCATGAGAGAGCAGGGTGTATTTATAGGATTGTTTCAAGGTCTATAGCTTTAAAATACAAACCCAATAAGTAGATTTACTTAGTTAAGTGAACAACTTAGGTTTTAAGTATCATATACAAGTTCTGTTTTGTATTTATTTATTCTTTTTGTCCAGAATTGCTTATGTTTTTTTTTTTGTTTGTTTTTTTAAATTACTATTTTTGGTCACACTTTTAGGGATTTCAGATAGTCTTGACCATGCTGGAGTTGTCAGGGGCCTTTTCCAAGCTGCTGGTGCACCATTCCTTTGAGACCGTAATATTTCATCAGATGTCTTCCAGCCTCTTGGAACAAAAGGACCAACAGGTACATTTGTCACCTGGATGCTAACTGTTACGTGTTTCGCTGACTCTAATCCTCATTTCCATTCTTTTCAGTTTCTAAACCTTTGTTGCAAGTGCTTTGCAAAATTAGCTATGGATGATAAATTAAAAAGTGTGATGCTCGAGAGGGCCTGTGATCAGAACAACAGCATCATGGTCGAATGCCTGCTTCTGCTGGGAGCCGATGTCAATCAAACAAAGGAGGGAGCCCCTTTAATTTGTCAGGTAAAGTTTTAAGATGACACTTTCATCTTTATTGACTCTGCCATTGTATAGCTCTCACTTATTACGTCTTATTATTCCTCACTACAGAATTTACCAGCTTATTGCACAACTGCGATTTGTAGTAGGAGTTTAGAGTCACAGAATTTCAGAGGGAAAGAGTCCTTAGGTACTGTCGTCTAATCCTTCATTTTATTTGTTTACCTACTTTGTTAGGTTGATAAGTAACTTTTCAAATGTGTCTCCTTCTATACATTTCTGTACAAATTGGTCCTGCCTGCCTTCTCTCCTTTCCCTCCTGCTCTGGGCAGACACTTCTACCTTTCCTTCAAATTCTAACCCAAATTCTCTTTCCTGGATGAAGCCCTCCTCAGACTCCCGACCTTCATAAAAATACTTAACTTCTTCTGTAAGTCCGCGACAACGTATGTACACCTCTTGTATATCTTGTGAGTTGTATGAAAGTAGAAATGTACAATGTTCAGCTTTACAATGTGAATTCAATACGTATTTAGTAACACTCATTATGTGTTTTTTAAAGTTTGTCTTTGTATAAATTTTAGAGTTTATGATAGCATTCAGGTAGCATCATGTATATTTTCTAGAAAGTTAATAACATTTCTAAGCAAAGCAATTATGTAGTGATTTAATATATACTATTAGATAACCAGCAGAGTACTGTTTTCTAATTATTTTTAAAGCCTTACTTTATTTAATGTCTCACTTGCCTGTGGATTCAAATTGATTTTCCACTGTAAGATTAAGTTAGTACTAATTAGCAATCTGCATAAAAAGAAACTAAACCTGTTACTCATTTTCATGCACAATTAATTTATGCATTAAAACCATCAAATTATTTAAATTCAGACAAAAGTTTTTAAAGCCAGTAACATTAAAAAGAATCTCTTCTCTATTTTAAAGGTAATGAAATTACTTCCCTCAGTAATTTAATGCTTTTATTGCGTATCTTTTGTGATCTCTGCAGATCATTGCATTAATGTTTTGGGGCATGCCAGAGAACTGAAAAGAAACTTCCCCTTCAGATTTTTCATTGGGAAACAATATACCTAGAAGCACCTGAGCGCAGCTGCTCTACATGTCCCATAGGAAGTGCTTTCTACTTCTCTCTCAATTTATCCAACTCTTTCTATACAAAAAGCCTTTTATTTTTCTTCCTATGTTCGTTTAAACATAATACTTTATATATTTTTTATTTTTTATGGACAACAGTGTGGTGATTGCAGGGGTGGATGGGGACGGGTGGAGGTGCTAGAGGGCATAGAGGAGATAAAAGGTGATGGAAAAAATTAAATTAAAAAATAAAAACAAATAAGAAAATCAGATCTTCACATCCATGGGTGTATTAAATTTAAAGAATTTATCCTAGCTGTCAGATTGTTTAGTCTACCAAATAATAAATTTTGATTATGTGGATAGATTGATTGAGCATATCTTATTTTGTGCTTGTACAAAGCTAATCAAGACTATTCATGTGCCAATGTTGCATACTCAAGGACTAGTCAGAGCAAGGGTGGAGTGAATCTCATTAGGCTTTCTGAGGATAATTTAATGACTTGACGTTCGAGAGTGGCAGAGAAGAATACAGAAGATTAATTCTGGATGTGAAAATGCCTGAACAGAAACCTGAAGATCAAACACTTCAAATCATGGTGGGAAGAGCAAGTATAATGAAACCTGAATAAAAGTAACAAACACTTCTGTGGTATTCCTTCCCACCTGGGCAATGCTCTGAGCTCTTTACATAGTTTAACCCTCACTACAACCTTACCAGTGGGTTCTAGTATTATCCCCATTATACAGGTCAGGAATTGAGGCACAGAGAGAGTAAGTAACTGCCTAAGAACACTCTCCTGGTGAGTAGTGGAAAGTCTGCCTCCTGAATGTCTGCTTTAATCTTTTTTTCTTTTAGAGTTTGACAGAAAAATTCTTTAATCAAAACAAGTTTACATGTTGAGACTTATGGCTTAACTAGAATAATCTGTCTAGTTTTTAATAGTACTAAGGACCAAACAGATATAATAGCAAGAGTTTCTTCAGCACAGTGGGTCCTGGTTTCCTTTGTAAGACTTCTCAAAAGTGAAACTCCAATTGTTGAAATAATTTAATAATCAATGATGAAAACAAGTATCTGTAGGTGAAAACAGTTATCCAAGAGGTCAAAACATACCATGCATGTCACATGCAAACCCTAAAGTATTAAAAGCCTTTTCCCCATATTAATAGTTTCAAAACAGAAGTGTTTTTTAGCTCCTAACAACTACCAACTGACCTAATCAAATTATCTTAGAAATGCTGTTAAGTGACCCTTAAATTTTGCGTGTAAACCTTGGTTCACCCTGATTTAGTCCATATACATGAATTTACAGACTATCAAACTACTCCTTTACTTTGTCTACTGCCTCAGAGCAACTGATGTTTCCACTTTTTGCAATCCTGTCACGTGTACCATACAGAAACAAGAATTCCCCTCTGATATAGCCATGCTTTCAAATAGGTTAGTTTCCTTATATATTTACTGCATAAGGATCATAGATTATTTTCCAATTTAAAGAAATACTACTGAGTGACTTTGTTAATGAGCGTGGCTTATTTAAAAATTCAGAAATCTTTCAAAAATAAACTTTTATCCTTTAGTTTTCAGTTTCAGCTACTAGTGTCTGTAAAGGATCTTAGGTGGCTGAACCCTAGAGCCAGATTCATTCCTCTATACACCCACTTTGCTCTCTGCAGGCAAGCCATGTGACCACTGAATTCCCAGCCACAAAATTAAATTACCTTCTACATGATCTCACTTATATGTGGAATCTAAAGAACTTAATAAACTGATGAACAGAATAGATTCAATGACATGGAAGCATGGATCAGACTGACGAATGTCAGAGGGATGGAGGAGGGCAGGTGGGTGGAGGGAGAGAGAGTAACCAAAGAATTTATATGCATATATGCACAAGCCAAGGACACGGACAATGATGGGCAGAGGGACTGGGGAGGGGGCTGGGGCAGGGTGGAATGGGTCACTGGGGAGAAAAAGGGACATCTGTGATATTTTGAACAAAAAAAATAAAATAAAATAAATTCCCTTCTAAAGTTAACATGAGTTTTGTACCTTGTAGAATTGTCAGTTGGGTGTCAGGGTGGATGTCATACAAGAATGCCTACAGAACACACATTGTTACACAGCAGCAGGATAAACAGCACCGTGTAGACCATGGGTGAGATTAACTTTAGGTAGACGAAGGGAGGAATAATTATATTGAAGTAACATTTTGTCTACCGTAAAAATGTATAACTTCTGAAAAGACAGTCTGATAAATTCAAGATTTGTGAAAACTATGCACAAAACCCACGGTATTTGGGAAAAGAGGAAAGGTTTATATAAGTAACAGTTCTAAAAAATGTAACTTTTTTCTACTATCAATTACACATTAACACACAGTAATTGAAACATGCTCCAACCAATGTCTGGAAAGCAGCTCAACACTTCCTAAACGAATCTCCCCTCACATGTGCTGTGTAATTAGCTGTTACTACCACAAAGTACAGTTAAGCAATGTTTACTTCCAAAGGGGTTTTTTCCCCTCAAACAAGTTTTAAACATCAAAAGCTATGCTTATAAAAATTTAAAACTTTCAGCAGTCTGAATAAAACCGTTTCAAACTTCTCGGCTGCCCTTTGTGTCCCGTATAGGTCAGGCTAGCCATCCAGGGTAGAAACCCTCCGGATGGTTCAGGCTCCTCTCCTCGCCGGGGCCCTCACTGCTGGCTTCGCGTTTGCTTTCCCTGTCGCCGTCACGTCGTGGCTGATGACCGTCCAGCATCAGAGCCTCCATTTAGGGTCTTTGAACCTGTTCTTTCCTTTTCTAGCTTTTTGTTTGGCCCTTTCTTCCCTCGATCTTTGGTTTTATTTGCTTCCTCATGCTGTCTTTGTTCGAGAAGAGATTTATTCAGCACTCGTGTGATTACAGAATCTCCTTCGCCAACCAAAAACATGTTTTTAAACTTGTTATACAACATTGTAGACTTTTCCCTGGTAATCTGACTCACTTTAAAGTGCTGTATATTTTTTTCAGTGTTGCAGTCGCCTCTGTGTTTCTGAGCTGGTTGCATTGTGGTCTGAAGTGGAGCAGGCTCGGCCAAGGCCTCAATATATCGGTTGGCTGCTTTAATCTCTTGTCTACACAACAGATTCATGGTGGTGGTGTCGCTGGGTTGTTTGTTCATTCTCAAATGCTAATTTAAAATGTTTTGTTTCGATTGCTGCCTGCATTAATTATAAATTAGATGAGGGATTTTAAAGGATCAAATTATACTTTTGAGAAACGTTGGTTATATTCTGAATTATCTTAATTATTATTTAAATACAAAACTGTGTATTTCTGAGCAGTATTTTTCCCTCTCATGAAGTTGGAATTACTTTCAAAATTTTCTTTTGTCTAATGCACTTTCTGGTATATCTCTTCATGGCACCATATGCCTAAAGTCACCGTGGATTGTTTGGATCCCCCAAGGACAATATCTCTACAAAAATGTACTGAGCGCCTTCTATGAGGAAGGCACAGTGCTAGATTGTTAGTAAAGAATATAAAGGGGGTTTCCTGTTCCAAGATTTTTTTTTTCTAAGTGGGTATTGGGAAAGGAGGGAAGAAAAAACATAAATTATCTTAATATGAGGTAAACAATAGGTGCCATAATTTAGAGATAAAAGTTTGCTGGGCTACAAGAGAGGACATTTGTAATTGAGGTTTTTAGCTCTTCCCTCCCTTGTTCCCTTTTACCCAAATCCCCCATGAACCCTTAAAGAGGATTTTACTAACTTGCTAGTTAAATTATATATATTTCTTAGGCATCACACTAAGTTGCAGAGCTACAAATTGAATTACAATAGCATTCATGCCTTTCTAGTTATAAAACAGACAGGCATGTGTGGTTCAGTGTGCTAAATACTATGTTAAACAAAGTGGGATGGGAGCCTGGGGGAAGAAGGGTGCATGAGGGGAAACCCCTGTGCTCTAGGACTTTCCCCCAAACACAATATGCAGTGTTTCAAACCTTATGACCTTCCCTTATGCTATTTCTATTGCCCTAGGTGTCTAACTCCGCTCTTCACTCAGCAAAAAGAAGTTCATTTTTCAAGGAAGAGCTTCAGAGTCTCTTGCAAAGTTAATCCTTGCTGCCACCCTCCCAGTGGACTGGTTGTATCTAGCGTAGAAAAGGACTGTAGTGTCCCTGGGGAGAGTATGTTGTAGGTGGGTGATGCTGGAGACGCGGGAATTAAGCTGGTGCCATCAAACCACAGAGCTGCCCCCTCCAATCCCTTGGGCACACTTTAATTCTGGAGAATTCAGGACTTTTCCCCCAATCTCCTCCTTCTGCTGGTACCTTGGATCTTAGGATCTTTCCTTTTCCTTTTCAGTCCTTAAGTTTGGGTCCTTTAAGGAGCGTAGGCTTTGGAGCCAACAGATTTGACTTCAAATCTAAGTCTCTTATTGAGGAGCTTTAAGAGGTTGGACAAATCACATGTTTTCTAACTATTCATCTATAAAATGGGGTAACCATTTCTGCGGCTTAGGGTTTTATTTTATAAGGATTATGGATCCTGTATGTAGAGGATTCAGCACAGTACCTGACATCTAATATTTCCATTACCTATGACTCTGGACTTCTGTTTGTAAAATACCCCGTTCTGTGCCTTCTAGGAGCTGCTCCTGAGTGGGGACAATGTGCTGTGCTTCAGTGGACACTAGTTTCTGTAGCACTTGGTAACCTAACCCACCTTGAGCACATCTCTGAAAACGGAACATTTCGGGGAAGGTAGAAAACTGAGAGACAAGATACTTCTTTGTGGTAATTCAGATCCTTGTCCTGAGGAGCTCAGGAAAACCAGAAATGAGCAATGCCTGTCCTTTGCACGTGGCATTAACAAACGTTATACCATTTACATTCTGTGTTACAAATGAAGGTGGGGGCAGTAAGCATTTACTAGTTTGCCAGATGTCTTCCAGTGAGCAAACAGAAACCCAGAAAGTATAAGCCTCAGTACTCCTGACTTCACGTTTCTGCGCTTTTGATTTCTGCTACTCTTATATGTGTGGTGCTAATCTTATTTTTCTAGTCTACTTCAAGGATGAGTTTTGCCTTATTTTATTTTGTTTCTATCTAAATTTAAGCGTGTAAAAATTACACCAAGTTCAATTTACCAGTCTCCTGAAAGGAAGAAATCTGGGTTTTTAATAAGCTTATATATATTTTTTTCTTTAATAGGTATGTGAAAAAGCGAGCAGTCCCAAACTGGTGGAACTGTTACTGAACGGTGGGTCCCGTGAACAAGACGTGCGGAGAGCGCTGACCATAAGCATCGCGAAAGGCGACAGCCAGACCATCAGCCTGCTCTTAAGGAGGCTTGCCCTGGACCTGGCCAATAACAGCATATGCCTGGGAGGATTTTGTATTGGAAAAATCGAACCTTCTTGGCTTGGTCCTTTATTTCCAGATAAGACATGCAATTTAAGAAAAGAAACAAGTAAGTATTCAAAGCAACATTTGTTATGTCTTATTTTTAGTAGTGTGTGTTTTTTTAAAGTCACTAATATTTTAGTTAGTTTTTATTCCAGTTTGGCGCAGCTTAAGCCAAAAATACTGTAAGAGTTTAGGTGTCTGTGTCTTTTCCTTTTGTCATGAATTGCTTGAAAGGGATATTGGAAGAAATTTCCCAGGCTATAGGTAGACAATGAGAACTATGCCAAGTTATGAGAAGGATGTTAACTTTGAAATTCGGTATAATTTCCCAAAAGAATGAATAACTTAGGAAATAGTTTATAAAAAAAAGTATAGCATTTATTGAGCATATTCTATGTTCTGGGCATCGTGCTAAGCATTTTATGTGCATCATTTCATTTAATCTTTTCGATGACCCTGTGCTGTGAATATTGTCGCCTTCTCTGCCCCAGTGAGGACACTGACACGTAGGGAGCTCATACAGCTCACAAGTGGCATTAGTGTGATTTGGGCACAGGCCAGTCTGGCTTCAAAGCCCAGGCCCTTCCCTGGGTAAGTTAGTTTCATAAATATTCAGTTTTGTTATCTACACCAAAGCTTTGTATACATTTCTATGATTTATTGAAAATTAAAATTTACTGCCCATTAAACATGCAACATCACAATGATAAAGTGACTTTGAAAGTAGGAATGAACAATTTTCTAGAACTGTGAGAATGTATAAGGAATTTGGGTATGATACATGTTTAGGTTTGTTTAATGGTTGATCTCTAAGTCGCCGGTGTTTTTTTTTATTTTTAGACATCGGATCCACCCTAGCAAGAATGGTCCTCAGATACCAGATGAAGAGTGCTGCGGAAGAGGGAGCCGCCTCAGGCAGCGATGGGAGTTTTTCTGAACAACTACTTGATAAATTTGCCGAATGGACCTTCATCCCCGAGTCCTACATGGACAGTGTGTTTGGTCAAAGTGATGACCTAGATAGCGAAGGTATTTATTATAAAAAAAATAATTCCCTTTATGTTTTAAAACCCTTACACACTGACATTGAAAAATAGGAATTGAGACAAAATCCTGATTTATTTGGAAAAACTTGAGGAAAATGTGTTTATTATTGGAAATAGTGATGCTTACTCACTGCAGTTAAGGCAGTGGCTGTCAAGTCTCTCCACACTCACGTGTTAGGATACTGCCTTCAGTCGGAGAACGGAGACTGCCACAGGGGAAACAAACTGACTGGAATTAGAATCTATGTTCCATCATTGACAGTGTCCCCTGCTGGGTTGTGTAAGCCCCCTACCCTTGTTAAAAGTAGTACTGCCAAACTTCCGGGATTATTTATAACAATTAGATAAAATATATATAAATTGTCTGGGAGAGTTCTTGGCAAATAGGAAGTACTTAATAAAATATATTTACCTTTATTAGAATTAAACATAATATTTAATATTTTAATAACTCACTTGAGATAACTTTTAAAAATTGACATGGCAAGATATATGATGGCAGTGATTTGGGCTGATGTATTTAATGAAATGCAGTTCGGTGAAAGTGGGGTGAGGTGCTTTTTTTAATTAACATAGTGTTATTGAATACTTTGGGTCATGGAGTAAAAAGTTATTTGAGAGGGCAAAAAGTAAGAGTTATTCCAAGATCTCATGTCTCAAGTCTAAATATTTTTAAAAGTAAACTTTATTGAAAAATAATTACTGTAAAATAAAATGCACCTATCTTAAGTATACGTTTTCATGGATTTTGAAAATTTTATACACCCATGTAATCATCACCACTATCAAGTTATACATTTCTGTTATCCAACAAGTCCCTTTTTGCTTCTTTACAAAATATTTCCCGAACCTTGGCCCGTGGCAGCCACTGACCTGCTTTCTGTCGCTGTAGATTACATTAGTATTTTCTCCAGTTGCATATAAGCGGAATCATACAGTGTGTTCTCTTTTCTGTCTGGCTGTTTTCCAACATGGTTGTACCATATTATACTCCCACCAGTAATACGTGAAAGTTCTAGACGCTTTACATCCTTGCCACCCTACAACACTTGGTATTGTCAGTCGAATTAATTCTAGCCATTCTAGTGAAGGCATAGTTGTAGCTCACTTGGGTTGAATTTTCACTTCTTCGACCACTATTGATATTGAGAATATTTTCATGTTCTTATTGGCCATTCTTGTATTTTCTTTGTGACATATCTGTTCACATTGTTTGCTAACATTTTTTAAATTTTTATTAAATGAGTGCATGTATGTAATGGATAGTTTTTATTTTATTTTTATTTTTTTATTGTTGTCCCCCATTCCTCCCCCCTTTACCCACCTCCACTCAGCCACGCTCCCCTGCCTCCGGCCATCACCACACTTGTCTGTGTCCACAGGCTATGCAGATATGATCTTTGGCCAGTCCCTTCACCTTCTTTTACGTAGTCCCCCCGTCCCCTCTCCTCTGACCTCTGTCAGTCTGTTCCATGTATCCGTGCCTCTGGGTCTATTTTGTTCATCAGTGTATTTTGTTCATTAGATTCCATATGTAAGTAAGAGCATATAGTATTTGTTTTTCTCTGTGTGGCTTATTTTGCTTAGTATAATAATCCTTTGCTAGCTTTTAATTATATTGTTGTCTTATTATTTTATTATGAGTTCTTATATATTCTGGTAGAAGTTCTTTGCAAATATTTTCTCTCAGTTACAGCTTTTTTAAAAATTCATTTTATGGTTATTTTTCAAAGAGCAGATTTAAAAATTTTTGATAAAGTGCGGTTTTTAAATTTTTTTCTTTTATGGTTTGTGTTTTTTCTGTCCCATTTAAGAAATATTTTCCTATCCTAAATTCATAATTATTTTCTTGTATGTTTCTTCATGGAAGTGTTAAAATCTTAGCTTTTGCATTTATGTCTAAAATCCATTTTAAATTAGTTTTTGTGTACAGTGACAGTGGATTGACATGTTTTTTTCCATGTAGATGTCCAGTTGTTTTAATATCGCTTGTTGAAAATACTGCATTTCCTCATTGAATTAATGGCATGTTTGTCCAATTTAATTGACCGTATAGGTATGGTTCTACTTCTGCATTCTTTGTTCTGTGCAATTGATTTATATCTTTATGCTTATGCCAGTGCCATACTATCTTGATTTACTTTAGTTTAATAGTAGGTGTTGAAATCAGGTAGTGTAAGTCTTCTGCTGTTGTTCTTTCTCAAAATTCTTCTCACTAAGCTAGGTTCTTTGCATTTCCATATTTATTTGAATCAAGTAATTTCATGCTGGGATTTTTTTCTTAGAACAAATATTTATATACATTTATGTAGAACTAATATGTAAGTACTATATTATTAATGTTATTAATATAGAATTAATATGTAAATAATAATGACTTTATATTAAACCTATAAAGAAATTAGGGGCATTGATGACTGACTTAATATGAGTCTTCTGACATATTAATGTGGCAAGTTTCCATTTACTTGTCATTTAAAGTTTCTCTCAGCAATGTTTTGTATTCCATGTTTTTTGAAACTATTGTAAATAGAATTGTATTTGAATTCCAGTGTCCAATAGTTCACTGCTGGTATATGGGAATACGATTCTTTGTATCTTCATGTTCTATCTTGTGAACTTGCTAAACTCATGAGTTCTAACACGTTTTTGTTGACCTTATAGAATTTTCTATGTTTGCAGTGATCCCATTTGCTTCTTCCTTTCCGACCTGTCTTTTTTTTTTTATTGACTTATTGCGCAGGCTAGGTTCTCCAGTACCGTGTTGAATAGAAGTTGAAAAAGTAGGCATTGTTTTCTGGTTGCCAAATGTAGCACGAAAGCATTCATCTTATGATTAATTATGATACAGCTTTTTTCATGGACAGCCTTCAATTTGAAGAGGCTCCTTTCTCATAATTGTCTGCTGAGTCTTTTTATCACTAACGGGCGTTGGAAAATGCTTTTCTGTCTGTGTTGAAATGGGCATATTTTCTCCTTTTATTCCGTTAATATGGTTAATTATATTGATAGATTTTCTAACATTAAACCAAACTTGCATTTCTGGTGTAAATATCACTTGGTCATGGTGTATTATTCTTTTTGTATATTATTGGATTAGATTTTCCAAAATTTTGTCAAGTATTTTGCATCTGTGAAGGATATTGGTCTGTAGTTTTACTTTTCCTTGCAATTATGAGAGTACTATTAGAGTTATAAATTGGGAAGTGTTTCCAAGTCTACTGTTATCTGAAAGAGTTTGTGTAGGAAGGATACTATTTTTTTCTTAACTGTTTTTTTTTTTAAAATCCTCACCCAAGGATATGTTTGTTGATTTTAGAGAGGGGAGGAGAGAGAAAGAGAGAGAGAAAGAAACATTGATGTGAGAAACATTGATCCGTTGCCTCTTGCATATGTGATGACTGAGGATCGAACTTGCAACCTTAGTAAGTGCCCTGACTGGAAATTGAATCTCTAACATTCTTGGTGTACAGGTCAATGCTCCAACCAACTGAGCCACACTGTTGGGCTTTTTCATTAACTGTTTAGTAGAATTCACCAGTAAAGTCATGCAGGTATAGAGTTTTGGGGGGAGATTTTAAATTATAAATCTAACTTTAGTAAATTTATTGTTTTGATTTTTATTACTTCCTGCATCAGTTTTTATAATTTGCAACTTTCAAGGAATTTGTCCATTTCACATAAGTTGCTTAATTTATTTATTAGATGTTATTTATAATAATTCTCTTACTATTCTGTTAATCTTTGTAATATCTGAAGTGATATCTGATCTTTAATTGGCAATTTATGTCTTTTCTTTTTCTTCTTCTTCAGTCTAGGTCAAAGTTTATCAGTTTTATTGATCTTTTCAAAGTTCAGAATTTTATTTTATTGATTTTCTCTATTGTTTATCCTTTTTCCTTTTCATTGATATTTTTGCTCTAATCTTTATTTCTTTATTTTACCTATTTTGATTTTATTTCGCTCTTTCTTAAATAGATTCTTAATGTGGAACTTAGAAAACTGATTTTTAGATCTTTCTTATTTTATTATATGAACAAGACCAATACAGATCCTTCTGAGAAGCACTTTAGGTGCATCCTATGATGTTTATATGTTCTGTATACATTCAGCTTTGAAATTTTTCTAATTGCCTATGGGATTTTTTTTTTGACTCATGAGTTATTTGGAAGAGTGTTTATTTTCCAAATATTTGGAGATTTTTTTTCACATAACTTTCTCTTATTGGTTTAAATTTAACTTTTGGGGGGTCAGAGAACATACTCTGATGATTTTCGTCCTTTTACATCTATTGAGATGCTTTGTGGACTACCGTATGGTCTATCATGGTGAATGCCCCATTTGAAATTCAAAAGAATATGTATTTGGCTGATTGGAGTCATGTCTGCTAGATCCTATTGCTTGATGGTGCTTTTCAGTCTTCCATGTCATTACTGATTTTTCTCCTACTTGAGAAAGAAATGTTGAAATTGTGGATTTCTTAATTCTTTTAATCTGATCAGTTTATGCTTTTTGTATTTTGAAGCTCTGTTATGGGGTGTACAAACAATTAGGGTTTTAATTTTTTTTTTATTTTTAAATATATCTTTATTGATTTCAGAGAGAGGAAAGAAGAGGGAGAGAGAAAGACAGAAACATCAATGATGAGAGAGTCATCGATCGAGCCCACAACCCGGGCATGTGCCCTGACCGGGAATTGAACCCTGATCGCCTGGATCCTAGGTCGATGCTCAACCGCTGAGCCACGCCCGGCCGGGCTAGGGTTTTAATTTTTTTGATGATTTTACCTCTTTATATTGATCCAAGTTTGCATTTAGTATCATTGTTTCCTTCCTCCTGAAGAACTCTGGGTAGTGTGGATCTCTGGGAGACCTCTTTGCAGGTTCCTGGAGCTCTTTTTCCACGATTCTGCGCCTGAACTCCCAGCTTAGTCTTCATCTCATCATCTCAGGAAAGCCATCCAGCTTTGTTTAAATTTCTTCTCCGGGTTCCTCTGGCCCTCAGATTGTCTTGAGGCAGAAGGCCAGGGTGATTTTAAGGTTTACATAATTTCTTTCTCTAGTCAGAGACTGCACTGTCTGTTGCCCAGTGTCTGAAACCAGTTGTTTAAAATATTTTGTCTAATTTTCCAGTTGTTTGTGGGGGTTGGTTAAGGTCAGTGCTTGTGCCTCCATCATGGCTAAAAGAAGAATTCTGTTTAAATAGTTTTAAATAAAGGAAAACATTAGAAATGCTAACATAAAAATGATCATAAATGTATGTATTACTTGTATAAACAATATGCTAATAGAAGTTTCACAAACATAAAGGGGATAATTATGAAAATGTAATAATTATAAAATGTGTAAATATAATTAAATTATGAAGTCTTTTGTTAAAATGCTTAAGCCTAAAATAATTTAATTTTTAGGATAAAATTAAATTTTAATAATGAATCAAGTAGGAAGTATTTGTATCAATTTTACAGTTTATATAGAATATTGTAAAGTTGACTTTTGAATATGTAGATTTTATAATTTTTTGACACTTAAAATTATGCTTCTAAGATAAAGAGTAGTGGAATTTAATTTCATAATTTTTCAGTAATGCCTTCAGATTATTTATCATTAGTAATATGATTTATTTATTGACCTTTATTTTTTAAATCCATAATTTTAAAAGTAGTTTTAATCTCTCCTCTCTCAAAACAGTATTGCCAACTAAATGCAATGTGTTTATTTAATGTTATTTTATATATGAAACCATAAAATATGAAATTTAGAGATGTATTCAAGATTGCTGAATGTTAAATAATTTAAAGTGTGATTTCAATATTTAACACAAGATTTGAAAATATTCTAAGAAGAATTCAGAGAAACAGAAAAGAATAACTTTGATCAGATTTATGCATGAACTTTCTTTGCTTCCAGTACATGCATGTATTTATTATTCTATGTGTAACTATTTTTTTTCTTGGCCCTTTCCTACTGTACTATGAGCTCATATGAGGCATGGATTATTTTCCTGCTTATCTCTATCCAACATTTACTCAGTGTCTAGTCTATGACAACGATTCAGTAAATATTTCTGGATGAAGAAAAATGTAACTGAATTTTGGAAGTGAAAAGCCAATGTAGTTTGTTGTTTCTATTTTAAAGATGTTACAACAAGAATTGGGCAATTTCCATTAATGAAAATGTGTTTAATTTTTTATGATTGACTGTTGTACCATATTATAATTGAGTAAACATTTCTTATTTGCCTTCATTTAAAAATAGGAAGTGAAGGTTCATTTCTTGTGAAAAAGAAGTCCAATTCAATTAGCGTAGGAGAATTTTACCGAGACCCTGCCTTGCAACGTTGCTCGCCAAATTTGCAAAGGCATTCCGCTTCGTTGGTAAGTTCGACTGTGATTATTCTGTGTGTTTTGCTACTGACATGCTCTTGATAACTGAGCTAGTGATTAAAAAAAAACAACTAGGAGCTATTGGTGCAGAAATTTCCTTATGTATGAAAACTTTATATCAGAATATAAATAAATATATATTATTTTAAATTTACACTTGTAGACTTTTGAGCTTGTTTGGAGCATATACAGGGTGGGGCAAAAGTAGGTTTACAGTTGTTCACATGGAAAATTAGACAATAATTAATAAATAGCGATACAAGAATAAACGCTGTGTTACAGGTCCCCGCAATGCAAGCCTGCTTTTGCTTCGCCCTGCGTGGACTAAGGACGCTTCGTAGCTTTTTGCTCTCTCTTTTCAGAGCGCCATGTGTGTGGCGCCCCAGCTAGGTGTCTGTCTTACGGTGCCATGACTATTTTAGACAGAAATCTTATAGTGATTCCTAAGGAAACCAGATAGGATGTTCTCTGTGCTCCCAAAACGGACAGTGATTGTAGTATAAATGTCTATTTGTTTAATAGGGACCCAATTTTGATCATGAAGATTTACTGAAGCAAAAAAGAAAAATACTGTCTTCAGATGATTCCCTCAGTAAGTATTTGAAAGTCATCATAAGTAAGTAGATATTTTGAGCAGAATACAGTATTTGTAAAATTTCTTCTGTTTGTTCCAACTTTCTTGGTGCCCGTTTCATCTTATATAACCTTCAAGTTATATTTACCGAATGATTCCACAGACTGTAGGAAAATGAAATATAATTACAGATTTGAAAATTTCCCTTTTACAATGTTATATAGGGCACTTCTATTTTTTCTGCTATTTTTCTGAAATGTAAGTAATACCCTGACCTGTGCTACTCTTTATCTCTTTCTCAGGTTTATTATTTTTTTGACACTCCTAATACCGCTTGATTAAATATTTATTATTTGCTCTCCATCTCTGGCTCTGGAATGTTCCATAGTTTGGTTTTTCGCTGAATCTCCAGTGCCTTGAAGAGAGCCTGTGCTATGGGGTGATCAATAAACATTTGCCAGGTCAAATCACCTGCTTATATTTCCATTGTTTGTCTGTTTTTGACAAAAGGGTCCTCAAGACTCGCGTCCCACATGAGGCAGTCTGACAGCACGTCCTCCCTGGCTGCCGAGCGGGAGTGCATCACGTCCTTAGACCTCTCGGCCAACGAGCTGAGGGACGTGGATGCCCTGAGCCAGCGGTGCTGCGTCAGCGGCCACCTGGAGCACCTCGAGAGGCTGGAGCTGCACCAGAACGCGCTCACGGCCTTCCCGCAGCGCCTCTGTGAAGTGCGTTGAACTTTCCTAATAACCTCTGGATGTTTGGAGAGCTTCTGCGTGTATATTTGACGTGCATGGGTTCATCTTTAAATAGAAGGTTCTGCTTTTGGGTCCTTGGACAGTCATTCCCGATTCTTCTGGTTTCCACACAAGGATCTTGGGCTGGGCGGTGTTCAGAAACATCTTTGAGGGCAGGCACTGGAAACGGAGATGTGGTTAAAAAGGAATGTCCTCAAGATCCAGGGTACATGTTGAAGTCGCTGAAGGCTGCATGTGGGTTAGGCCTTCAGTTATTTAATTGCCTTAAGACCACTTAAGCTGCATAAACTAGGTCGACTAGACTTAGACCTGGTTTGGTGGTACTGGTCGGTACCACCAAATGATAAGAACATGTTACTCTGACTGCTCTAAGCCGTTCTTTCTCATCTGCCAAATACAGAGGCTTGACTAAACTGCTCCTAAAGCACTTATTAAGCTTTAAAATTATATGTAAATTAAAAATGGATTTTTTGGCTCCAAGTTTTCATTTCTTAAAAATTAAGGTATAGAATAGTCCTCTGATAGGATAATCCTTTGAATATTGACTTTGTTCATCATTTTTATGTACTAATGATCAGAAGTCAAAGAAGTTAGGATGACAAATTTAAAAAAATCTTACCATGAATGTTTAAATTATTAACCTGATTTCTTTGAACTGTAAAGATTGATAAAAGATACACTTGTTTTTTTCTAAAGCTCATTTTGTTGCAAATACTTTTTCCCCTTTTTAATCTATAAAATTTACCATAATTTTGAGGCATTTAAAAAGGAACATTGCATGATTTTTAAGTATGTTTAAGTGGTGTCTTTCTCCTAAAGTTTGTATATCTGGAGAGAGAGAAGAAAGAAAGGTGGCCCCTCCCCCCTGCCTCACTCCCCCCCAACCATGTCTAAAACGTGGCCTCTCTCCTCCTCCTCTTTGCCTGACCCAAATCTCCAAGTCACAGGGTGTCATTTTAAATGTCACTTCCTTACCCTCTGCATCTCTTCTCCCCTTCTTCCCTCCAGACTAGGTTGGTTACCCACCTGGTTTACATTTCCATGGCACCCTGGAACTTCTCCCCCAGTGCTCATTCGTTTATAAATTTTTATCTGAGGTGTATTCTCCTCACTGAATGGTGAACTGCTTGAGAACAGGAACTGTGTCAGGATGGTTTGTGTCTGTCCCCATTGCCTAGTAGGGCCTGCCATATAGTAGAGGCCCAGTTGACGGTTATCGAATTAACTTGTGAAGGAATTAATACTGGCATGTGGTAGACCTTCGATAAATATTTGTTAAAGAGTAAGTAAAAGAAAGCTAGAATTCAGCTTTCTGAATGGAGGGGGAGGAGAGGGAGAGGGAATTTGAAGAGAGCATGGCAAGGTGACCTGCGTTAAGGCATTCAAAGACAGGACCTGTTCAGAACCTTCTCTTAAGGAAATTTCAAATCAACACCCCTAGATGGCAGTTTCTGTTCCCGCCTAAGTGGATCTCTTTACAACAAAATTTCCTGATTAAGCCTTGGGAATGAAGCAGCGGGGAGGGGCCACCTTTCTTTCTTTCTTCTCTCTCTCCAGATATACAAACTTTAGGAGAAAGACACCACTTAAATATACTTAAATTTTAAATAATTTTAAAATCTTTCCTTCTGAATAATCTGGTAGGATCTGAAACAATGGCAGAAATTTTGAAATATATTCTGGGGGACAGATCCATTAATAAGCCTTCATAATCACATCAAACTCTTTAGAATTTCGCATGAGGATAAATATATTGATGCGTAAAGAGGAGCACAGGGAAGTGATTGTTTAATATTTTAGCCCTTTGATAATAATTCATAGCAAAGATTAAAAAACTGACATAATATGTAAATGGCAAGGTTGCTGTTATGAGAGTAAAATTCAAAATTGCTTAAAAATAGAAAATAGAGATTTGAAACAAAAAGTTCTCTAAAAAGGAGAGGTTCCAAATAAAACATATACAGTGACTACTTTTACGTGTGGTTAAATCTTATTTATATTAAAATGTATGACAATTTCCAAAAGCTAGTATTTAAAAAAATGTATTCCTAGGATTACGTTGTATTATACTGCTTACTCATTAAATCATTAGTTTAAATATTTGTTGAGGCCTATTTTGCTTCCATTTTTACTTGTTGCAGGAATAATTTACCAAAAAAGCTGAATTAAACTGTAAATCTTATTTTTGTGACCCTGCTTTTGAAAGCCTACCTGCCATATTTTTCCTGGTTTTTCCCATTTTCGAGCAGAGGTGGTTAGGTCAGTCAGTATACTGAAGTTCCCTTGTGCATTATGTTTTCAATTCTTTGGAAAACTCCTTAATGGTTCCAGTTACCAGAGGTATGGGAGGAAGAAATATTAGCTAAATTTCAGTTTCTCAGGTGGCTCATTTTAGAATGTGAAAATATTGTCTTTCCAGACGCTGAAGTGTCTGACACACTTGGACTTGCACAGTAACAAGTTCACGTCCTTCCCCTCATACTTGTTGAAAATGAATTGCATCGCCAACCTTGATGTCTCTCGAAATGAAATCGGACCCTCGGTCGTTTTGGATCCTGCAGTGAAGTGTCCCACCTTGAAACAGTTCAACCTGTCATATAACCAGCTGTGTTCTGTTCCCGAGAACCTGGGGGATGTGGCAGAGAAACTGGAGCAGCTCACTTTAGAAGGGTAAGAAGGGCTCATTAAAGACAGAGGGTTGCCTTACATTGGAGTTTTGGAAGGTCGACAAAATATGCTGACATTATTTCTACAGTAGTAAGTTTTAAACAGTGATATGATAAAAAACAGAGACAGCTAATACTGCAGCTTGCATCAATTGACTTAAATTTTCACAAGTAATTTTAAAATTGATGTCTGCTTTGATGCTGTTCTTTTGAAGGCAAATTGTTGTTATTGTTTTTCCTTAAAGCATATGAGCTCATGCAATTTAATCTTCATTTTCTCTCTTATGACTAGAAATAAAATATCAGGAATGTGTCCCCCTCTGAGCCTGAAGGAACTGAAGATTTTAAACCTCAGTAAAAACCACATTTCATCCCTGTCAGAGGACTTTCTTGAGGCTTGTCCTAAAGTGGAGAGTTTCAGCGCCAGGATGAATTTTCTTGGTAAGTGTTTGTGGGAGTCTTCTCTTTAACAGTACTTTTGGATAGTACAGGATGAGTCATATATGGACATTTTAGGTGGGGAGTTAAAGGTATCATTTTAGTTTAAATATTATGCTGGAGTTTCAAATATAAAGTTAGTTTGGTGTTAAGAAGAAATGAGGTGTCAAGCCATGGACACAGGAATGAAACTTAAAAAATGCATATTGCTAAGTGAAAGAAGCCAGGCAGAAAAGGCTACATACTGTATGAGTCCAACTATATTATATTCTGGAAAAGGCAAAACTATGGGGGCACTAAAACAATTAGTGGTTGCCAGGAGTTTGGAGGTTAGGCAGAGAGGGATGAATAGTGGGAGAGAAGGGAGGTTTGGCGATCTTGGAGGTCCTCATACCGTAATTCTGTCTTGGAAATTCATGACATATATACCAGAACATTGAGAACTCTGAAATATTTCACTTTATTTTTACCTAATGTTTCCCAATCTCTTAAGATCACATGATCAAATAATACTTTTAAGTAGCATCCATTATTCTTGCATAGAATACCCTTTATGGGATGGTATTATTAAGAATTTTTGTCTTTATATTGTGTATTAGTATTCTAAATGCTCTTTTTAAAAAATGTGTTCTTTTATTGATTTTAGAGAGAGAGGAAGGGAGAGGGAGAGGGAGATGGAGAGAATAACATCTATGTGAGAGAGAAATATCAATTGGCTGCCTCCTGCACACCCCCACCGGGGATCAAGCTCACAGCCTGAGCACATGCCCTGACCGGTAATCGAACCAGCAACCTTTTGGTGCACAGACTGATGCTCAGCCAACTGAGCCACACTGGCCAGGGCTGTGTATTATATTCTAAAGTGTTCTGTTAAAGTTACTTACGAGTAATCTGAATTAATCTATAATATATTTTGCATAATATCACATAATTTGAATTGAATATTCTAATTTTTATTTTTATAGATGTTGGACAGATGAATTTATATTTAGATAGTTGTTTAGTTTTCATATTACAAGATTTGTATAACTGTGATGTATTATTTTAATGTTTAGTGGTGGTATTAAGGATATTACCTTATTTTAAAAGTAGATTTAAAAAAAAATTTCAGCGTGAATATAGAAATCAAATTAAATGAGAGGTCATTGGTAGCTGTTCTTGTAGAAATCAGTAGAAATCTAGTTAAAATGATTACAGTGTCCCTTACCTCATTTTTCTTTTCTTTTAGCTGCTATGCCTTTTTTACCTTCCTCTATGACAAGTATAAAATTATCTCAAAACAGATTTACATGTGTTCCAGAAGCAATTTTAAAGCTTCCACAGTAAGTTTATTATTTTTACTTTAAAACCACATAAGCTGAAACAGAACCTTCAGAAACATGGTTTTGACTTAGGCATGTTTAATGTTTTTAAATCTATGAATGTTTGACATTCACTAGACAAAAGACCAAAGTTGTTAGTTGGATTTTTTTTAACTTTTATGTTAATTTAGTGTGCTGTTGTATAGAAACAATTTAAGATTATTTACTGTATAATTGCATTATTATAATCAAATGAGATGGCACTGGCTATCACTTTAACTTTTAAAATTTCTCTTGCTCTAGAAGTTGATACATTGCAAAGATACTATTAACTTTGAAATTATACTTAAGTTATGTTTCAGTGATTTTTTGGTGAAGATTAGGACAACTTATGTGGCCCGCGGTATTCGGGGATATTTTTGGTTATTTTCAATAAAAACGAAAGCTTCCTGTTAACAGATTCATGCATTAATTAGCTTTGAAATGTATTGTCATCTTAAATGCTATTCTAATTGTGTTATACATTATAAACCAAGTCCATAAACATATATGTGCAAATTCATACATATATTGACAAATAATACTTAGTTATTATCTATAGATAATGTCAGACAAACATAATAGTTAATTTAAATCCAGCTTTAGAATGTGTCAGACACTGCTCTCACTGCTCAACAGCGGATCTTCCTAATCTTCCTAATAATCCTATTAAATAGCTACTGTTTCTAGCTTCACTTTATAATGAGAACATCAGTTCATTAGAGATTAAAGTAACTAGCCCAAAGTCACAGTTTTTTAATACTGGTGGTTTGACTTCAGACTCTCAACTCACACATGCAGACACCACTGGAATACAGGTGGTCCTATATTTTAAGCATAATGTATTCCAGACAGTGCATTTGAAAGTTAAATATTTATGACATTTGATTAAAAGACATGTGCCATAAAGAAGATTTCTTCCCAGAGAACTGACAATATCTAGTCCCTAATCACACTATCCCTTTAGACACCATCTTCAGGCATACATTTCCAGCATTTTGTAGGTATTTCTCTAAATGTACTCTTTTGTTTCACAAATGAGTATCCAGTTGCCCAGCTTAAATCTCCACTGAGGCTGAGACACTGCTTTTGAACAGCCTGGTGATTCTCAGATTTGTCTCAACTACATTGTTTGACATACATGTCTTCTCTCTAATATGGTCAACTTAATTGTCTTGTTTTCATGGCATTTTTGTATGACAACTAGGGCAAAATCTATTATCATTTTAAAATGGCAAAAATGTTGCTGTGCAGATGTGAATCTTTGTCTGGCAGGATGTATAGCTATGTGAGCTTAGAATTAATTCATCATGCTTCATATATGCTGGACGAAAGGGGTCAGTATATGTAAAAGTTCAGGTATACTTTTAGCCAAATATACCACAATCACTGACTATGTTTATTCTTCCTACACACATACACTTATATGTAACATGTGCTTTTTTGCTATTTTATGCAAACTTTGGGTAGATGTTCTTGCATGAAAGCAACCAGTTTGCATTGAGGGCCTGCTGTATGCAAGGGATCATGCTCAGTTTTGGGGAACAATCTTCATCACATTGAGACAAGCTGGTAGAGGGGCTTGCCCACACACAATATTAATTAACTCTAGGACCCGAACTCTAAAGAATCCTCCCAGTAGTGAGTGAAAATGAAAGCAGATATGAGGGCTACATAATTGTAACTCTTGAATAGAAGGCAGGAGGAATGTTAATGACAGCTTTAGCATTTGTTAATTATGATTTCTCATGTATCATAAACATTTATAAAACACTTATTCTTTTTCTCAGGGATTTACAATTTTATGGTTCTGGAGTAGGTAAATTAGGCCTTAATTTTGTTTGAATGGCTTTTATTCACTTAAATGTTGTTCCTAGCGAGACATGCCTTCTTGCTAGCACATATATATGTACATGTACACAAAAACCCATGTGCATAATGTATACTTACATATACATATTGTTAGTTTTTAAGTTCTTATTCTCACTCTAGTAAAAATTACTGGTGATGTAATTTCATGTATTTTGGAAACACTCACTTGGTTTTTATCTTGACACTGTGTTGTTTCAGCTTGCGATCCTTAGACATGAGCAGCAATGATATTAAATACCTGCCCAGTCCTGCGCACTGGAAATCTTTGAACTTAAGGGAACTCTTGTTCAGTCATAATCAGATCAGCGTCTTGGACTTGAGTGAAAAAGCACATGTATGGTCTAGAGTAGAGAAACTACATCTTTCTCACAATAAACTGAAAGAGGTAAGAGGTCTTTATTGGCTTAAAATTATTGCCCATTTGCAAATACGCTTTTGTAATTTGCATCATCAAAAATTATCATTTTAACATCTGCTATTTTGTGTTTCCTACTTTTTGAATAAGATCTTAACCTACCCTGAGGTAAATCAGTACATTAAGAATGCTTAATTTCCATAAAAGGTCACTTTTTGTGCTCAATATTTAGGTTATACGAATATATATGTTTAACTATGAATGTGTGTAATGTTTTGTGTATGTCATTGAATCACTGAATCTCTGATCTGTTAACAGACCCTGAGATACTCTACACTTCTAAAGTTGACACTGGGCCATATATAGCCTGTTTTTTCCAGATGAACTTCTTTCCTACATTCTTAAATTGCTGCATTCCTTCCCTATGCTACACCTCATCCTAGTGGGTCAACTTCCTTTGCTTTACTCCATTGCCTCTGTTACAAATCTAAAATGGATTATCCATTCATCTCAGAAAAATAACCACACTTTCTTTTTTTTGCCAAGTTCAAGTCTATTATTGCCTGTGAAAAGCCAAAAAGAATTAAATGTCTGAAACTGTGAGGTTCAGAATAACTATGAATACTTTTTGCTATCTGATTTTTTTTTGCCAGCAAATTAACACTTTTTTAAATTTAAAAGTAATGAGTACTGCTTAAAATTTGGAGCAGAAAAATAAAACCTCTGTTTAACATGCCACCTAAAGTATAAACATTTAGTTGTATTTTAATGACATTAAGTTGTATACAAGTTTGTGATGACCAGATCTTTGTAGTTTTACTGAAGAACAAACAGTGAGGGAACAGACTTGCAGCCACAGATGACTAGATTTGGAAAGCTAAAAGGAATTTGCTTTCAGTGTTTTGAAGAGATGACATATGTTACCAAGGGAGCATGGGTTTCCAAAGATTATAAATAAGTGACATAGATGGTTTTGGGTAAGTCCCTTATATTTGTGTTTTTAAACATTCATAGTGAAACTGTGACAAGCATTTGGAAGGTTTTGGAACTCTGGGGAAAGATCCTGCACGTTGCCGATGGGATCTCTGGTCCTTCTGGTTTCCTGTTAGCATCTTGTTTCTTGGAAGCACATCTTGTTTCTTGTTCCTTTCCCATCAACAGAATTTGCCCTTTTTTTTCCCACTAAGATTCCTCCTGAGATTGGCTGTCTTGAAAACCTGACATCTCTTGATGTTAGTTACAACTTCGAACTGAGATCCTTTCCCAATGAAATGGGGAAATTGAGCAAAATATGGGATCTTCCTTTGGATGAACTGCGCCTTAATTTTGATTTTAAACATATAGGATGTAAAGCCAAAGACATCATAAGGTTAGATCACTTTATTTTCATTTGTTTCTGTTAAGTTTGTTTCAGATTTCCTCTGTGACACTGATGGATATAGAGTTACAACATAGGAAAAAATGCATGGTACTGTTTAGCATCAAGATGCTATGTGTCATTTGCCTTTTATTTAATGAGTGGGTTTCTATGGTGCCGCTGCAGGGCCTTTCATTTGCTCCGAGCCAAGTTAACGTTGAGAGAATAGCTTCTCCTCCTTGTCACGCTTCTCACTAGAGATGGACTCTAAAAGGAAAGTACTACCAGTTGGTCTCTTGTTACCAAGTACACAGACTAAAGAAATATAGCAGAGTATAATAACTTCTTAAACTTCATTTTATATAGCATATAGTTAGTTAAATGTCTATTATATCTTAAAGCATTATAGTTACTTAAATGATAAAAAATTACCAACTTTGATTTTGCCTATGAGGATGAGTGATCCACTCACCCTGGTCATTTTTGCAACCGCCAAAAACTTCCCAGCTATCACTGTTTCTGGTTCTTATACTTTGCATACTTCAAAGACATTTGATAATGGACTTTACCTCACTCCTTGTTACATTTTAAGCATGCTAGTCTTATTGTTACCTACTCATACAGTTATTTCCATTTTCCCAAAATTACTTCTGTCTATATTTATCTTGCAGGTTTCGGCTCATTTATCACCTCTCATTGTATCCCTCACTACAATATCCATTAAGGCAGGGACCATGGCAATGTTTACTCACTGTCTGATACTTGGCACAAAGCCTGGCATACAATTAATAGTGTTTGAATTACCAGTGAACTATATTTACCTAATTATCTTCTGCTTAAATTTTCTTAAATTTATATTCAACTTTTTATGAGGGACAATTTCTGTCTTCCTGAGCTTGATGTAATTTGAAAGGGAAGAGTTTGTCCCCAGCTAATGCTAAACATGACTGCCCCTGATCCCAAATAATTATTTCCCATGATTTTTCCCTCCTGAAACTGGAAAAGATGTGCATATGAAAATTGGTCCAATGATTATTAAACATTTAGTGGAACTAGTTTTCAATGTATTATTCTATATTATCAAGCCATGGTGTAAGTAAATATTTTTAAACTTGTTTTACATTTTTCAAAAAGACAACAAAGACATGGAATAGTGTAAAAATTTTAGGCATCCTTTGCTTTTTCAAAGAATGAGTTTTTTCAAAGAGTGGTGAATTCTTAATAGTTAATGAACTTTGGACCATTGATTTTCTTGTTTATTGGTGATGAAAACAGAAGTTTAGCTGCTTGTGAGAAAATGACTGATTTCAATAATAGCAGGTATAGATGTGACCTGTCAGATCTTATTTTCTCAAGTGTCAAAGAAATCAAGAAGAGTTATTAGGCCTTTTGGTCAGATCACCAGGATCATTAGAGATCTATTAGTTATGAGAATGGATCAGTCAATAATCTCTAAAATTAACTTATGATTTAGTTTGCTTCTCTAATTTTAAACTGTGGCAATATTTTAATAAAGTTAAAATATATCTTTATATATCCATTATGTTTTTGAGAACATTTAAAATCTATTAATTTAAAGGTGGTTTTGTTAGCCACCTAAGCACTTATAAGTAGTTTCCATTATTTTTACATTGATTATTAAGAATAACAACATATTATCTGATAGTATAATAGTTTATATATAGTAACTTATAATGTAATCAATATGGCCCTTCCATGTACATTATACATATCCATATATGATATACATAAGTATATATAGTGCTATACATGAATATATATGTATGCACACACATATATAAAGTACCCAACATAACCTCACTATCAAGGTTTTGTCTAACTGTATGCATGTATACTCTACCTTGGTTCTCTGACACATGGGTTTTGTAAAATGTTATACTTTATAATTTTTAGGGTTTCGTATTATTTAAAGAAATCTGTGTGTGTGTGAATAAAATCATAATGAATATTGCACACATATTTTCACATTTTGATTGTTTATGGTGATAGTGTAACGTCATTCTATTTGATAATACTGCCGATCATTATCAACTACACTAATATCAATAACAACATATATGCATTAAGAGTGTAACAAAAGACAAGTGCAATTTACGTATACAAACTGTGCATTTTTGTTTTGCATACTATATTTGAAAAGTCTGGTATTTAAAAGAATTCAGTGCACAAGAATTCACCTGTATTTTAAATATACTATTAAGCAGTATATTATTTTATTTTTGTCTAATTCTAGGTTTCTTCAACAGCGGTTAAAAAAGGCTGTGCCCTATAACCGAATGAAACTTATGATTGTGGGAAATACTGGGAGTGGTAAAACCACCTTATTGCAGCAATTAATGAAAACCAAGAAATCAGATCTTGGGATGCAGAGTGCTACAGTTGGCATAGATGTGAAAGACTGGCCTATCCAAATAAGAGGCAAAAAGAAAAAAGACCTCATTCTAAATGTTTGGGATTTTGCAGGTATTTATTTTGCTAAAATTTTTAAATCACATTTATCTTTTATTTAGAGCAGGGATTTTAAAAAATGAACTGAGTTTTCTGTTCTAATACTGCAGAGAGACAGGTGAATCCTATGGAATTGTTGCAAAGCTGTGTACTTCTCCCAGTAGCCCCCCTGCCACCAGAATGAAGCAGTGTGTGGAGGGCGATGTTAGAAACTACAGGTGCTGAAGCTGAGCACTTGGTTGGTAGCTGACACTTCAGCTAAAAGCCCTCAATCTCTAGTAAAAACTCAGTGTAGTTGTCTAAACATTGTGATTGTTTTTCTCTTTTTTTGTATGCTAAATAGTAGATAGTGTCACCTAAAAATTTGTTTCAAAAAAAGGAAGGCTACACAAGAGTCTCCAATCTCTGTTCAGGTCGTGAGGAATTCTACAGCACCCATCCCCACTTCATGACCCCGCGGTCACTGTACCTCGCTGTCTATGACCTCAGCAAAGGACAAGCTGAAGTTGACGCCATGAAGCCTTGGCTGTTCAATATAAAGGTGGTCTGTTCTAATCATTTGAAAATACAAAATAATTCTCTCTCTCTTTTTTTTTCTTTCTGTATGTAAGGTAATTTATTTTAGGCAAACAGTTGCTTTAAAGGGTTTTTAAAAAAGAAAGTAAGCAGCACTGAAATTTTAACTTGGGAAATTTTCAGAGTATTTAAAGTGTGACATGAAAATAATGTGTTCCGTATTGGGGAGCGTTACAGGTATGTGAAACCCGTTTAAGGTATAAAAACTGAAAATACACATGCTAAACTATTTTTATCATATTCTTTTAAAAATGGAATGTGAGCTTTCTAACTTAAAGTAAGTTATCCCAAAGAAAAGCAGTCTGCACGTCACCACCTATGTCTTCAGTGGCAATTTAGTATGAAGTCTTCCAGATCTCACACTTTGAAATGGTACCAAGTTAATATGCTCCCCTTTTTTTTGGTAAATTCAAATATATTGACAATATGCACTTATACTGGGAATCTCTCTCTGTTATTTTCCACTTTGTCCCTTGGTTGTCATGCGGTCAGCTACTCCTTACAAGCTCATTTTGTAATTTTGGTAATTTTTAAAAAACTTTCTGTTCGTAATAGCAAGGAACTGAGAATAAAGACTGAGAGATCTGGGGAAGAAACCAGACCAAACCAAACCAAAAAACCCTTTCTGTTTGTTTTATGATAGCCAAAGTGAGCAAGTATTACAAGGGCAGTAATATTTCAGTGGCTTTTTTTTTTCTATTGCCGACTCCCAATAGAATGACTTTAAAATGAATTCAAGAGATTGAATTTGCAGGTAAGGAAGAGAAAAATGTAAACCGTATTATAACACTTAGAAATAATTCATGGATTTATTAACTGCTTATACATTATTTCGAAGTCTAAAGCACACTTAGAAAGTTACCCATTTTAAGGAATTTTTTAAAAAACATAGAGAAAAGGAAAACACCCGACGGCTATTACAGAGGCCACCTGAAAAGTGGTAATAATTGAATTACGGGGGGGCATAAAAGTGACTTAGCATTTCGTAGGGTTACTTTTTCCCCCCCTTAGGCTTAGGGAAAGACAGTTATTTCCTTCACGCTGTCCTTTAATTCTTCACTTCCACGCCAGTGAATTTGGACAGAGCTGCGAGCGTTGCTTTGCAGACCAGCCGTCAGTGTGCGCGTCTCTGCCCGCAGGCCCGCGCCTCCTCCTCCCCGGTGATCCTGGTGGGCACGCACCTGGATGTGTCCGACGAGCGGCAGCGCAAAGCCTGCGTCGGGAAGATCAACAAGGAGCTGCTGAACAAGCGGGGCTTCCCCGCCATCCGGGACTGCCACTTCGTGAACGCCACCGAGGAGTCCGATGCTCTGGCCAAGCTCCGGAAAACCATCATCAACGAGAGCCTGAATTTCAAGGTGACGCGGGCGGTGCCTCATCTGTTGATCCTCAGGTTGGGCAGCTCTAAGGAAGCGCAGAGGCCTCCGGCTGCTTTGCACAGCTGTTAGCGTCCTTAAAGCATTTTCCGTTATAAAATTACGCCATCCTTCATTCAGATTCCTAGAAATGGGAGTAAGAACAATTCCAGGGCCCTCAGAGACTCTGGGGGAGGGTCCGAGAGACCCAGAGGGTGTTTCCCAGAGGCTCTGGGCAGATGTTTGCGACGCCCTCTGCCCCTGGGCTTCCTGCAGCCCTGATGGGGTGAGCAGGGTAACCGTGGTGCTGGGGCCTGGGGGTCACCTTTCTTCCACTAGTTTCTGCCCCTTGCTGCTTCCCCTGCCCCGTCCTCTGGGAGTCCCTTTCTCATGCCCGTCTCGGCGTTCCCGCTGCCCCTCCACGCCGCGTGTCCCTGGACCCCATTCTCCATGCTTTGCCCTCATGATTCTGAGATGGCTTTTTCCTTGGTCGCCAAGATCACTAATTTGGTTTTCAGCAGTGTCCAAGCAATTTTTTTACTTTGCACAAACAGAGTTTTTCATTTTAGGAATGATGGTATTTGATTTCTAAAGTGCCCATCTAGTAAGCCAGATCTAATTCATTGGGCTTATAAAACACAAATAAATTGGTAACCAGGCAGAACATTTGTGGTTTTTGTTTTGTTTTGTTTTTTCAGTCTGTGATAAATAAAATTTTATTTTAGCCAAGCAATAACAATATTAATGATACCGTAATTTTTCTTTACTCAAATTATTACTTTGATTTCAGTTTTAAGGGGTAACTTTGGTCTTTCCTTCTCCATGTCCCTTCTTCAAACGTACGGGACCTTCCTCTGCCTTCCAAAAAATTTGTGTTCGTGACCTCTCTAGCTATAGAATAAGTCGTCTCCTGCCTTTGACTGCCAAAGTTCTCCAAAAATTAATCAACATGTATTACCTCCCCCCACACACCTTCTATTCATCCCTCAGAAGCTGGAAGTTTGTTTTTAATACTTACAGGAGAGAGAAATCTTCCGGGGATTCTACAGACAGCACTGTGTAAACTGTGGAAAATGCCCTGACACTGTAATACGACAAGCACAGTGGTGAATTTCGTTGTCAGTTCCTGTTGGCTTAGCTCATTAGCACTAATGATGAAGGCATGGCTTGTAACGAAGGTCCTGCTTTGCCTGGACAGCCCCAGCATAATTATAAATAGCGTCCCAGAATGTTCTCAGGCATTCCAGTCTGGATGATAAATGTTATGGTCGCCCTGGTTATAGCGCATCTGCCAGTTAGCTTAGTTCTGTTCCATTTCCACAGATTATGCTCCTATCCAAGCCTAATGAGCCATTTGGAAATGTGCTGGTCTTTGTGGTGCCCCGGGAGATAATTTGCATGTTTGTATCTTTCAGCACATTTATCACCATCACTAAAAGGTTTTGCCAGTGGTGAGTCACTAGTGGCATTTATGTAAGAAGAATGGCATATTATTTATTTGCAGAGTTTCCTACTTTCTCATGGGATATATGAGTAGAGAATAACATGACTTATAAGAAACAAATATACAAAATTCATTCATCCAATTAAATATTATCTTTATCCAGGGGGATTTTTCTGAGACTATACCTGCACTTATAGAACTTTGTTGTTACTTCTACTATTTTAATAGCTTCCATTTTTATCATCGCTGTTGGAGCATATATTATATTTCTAAAAAGACTTATTGGAAGATAAGTTTGTATTGAAAAAAAACCTGAACTTAGTTGAAACAAAATCTATGGATAAAGTGGTTGATTCATCAAGCTGCAATAGTATTGCTTTTGTCTAATAGCAAGTTATCACTATTAGTCAATAAAACCATATTTCTTCCTGCATTTATAAATGAAATCTCAAGGCAGTGCCATACAACAAAGTAAAAGAAATGCTTTGAAAAATAGAAATATTATTTGAAAAGAGGTATACATTGCTAATGGACGCATCATTCTGGCCTTTTGGTTTGAAAATCCATTTGATTGCTTTGCAGAATAATGACTCTTTCCGAGGATCTAGAGCCAAGGAGCCTGCCAGAACTTGAATATTCTTTCCTCCCCGCCGTGTTTCAGCCTGTATTCAAATAGCAGCTTTTAACCTGTTAGAGATCATTTTTTTTTTTTGCCCTCTCATTTTTTTCATCTTTTATCTTGACTCTTCTGTAATCTTGCCCTGTCTCACCTTTATTAACATGTATCTGGGCAGACTCGCAAATAAAAGTGTTGTGCCTGTGTGTGCGTGCGTGCGTGTGTGTGTGTGTCTGTTGGTGACTTGACACAAATGAAAAGAAATAGGACAAAACAGAGTTTAATGCCAACAATAACTTCTTTCAGTTTGTCCAGCCCATTAGCAGTGAGCAGAGAGGTATTCTTTCCTGGCCCCAGAACCCAACCCTGTAAAATTCATCCCTTTTCTACATGATTAGCTTCCTGTGACAACCCTTGTTTATTTCTAAATGTAGGTTTTTCCTCCTTGAGTTAAAACATAAACTTCACTCTGGTTTTGTTTTATTTTAATTTCTAAATGATGCAGAGAAGGATTGTGAAAAGTGAAGGTTAGTGGAGTGATAGTTAATTTTCTGGGGCAAGGGACACATGAACACAGTCTTTCAAATTACTGTTTGGAGGTAAATATCTAAGGAATGCTTATGGCTACTGTAAGTGAAGATCCTTAAGGTTCTAGTGATAAGTAGAAAAAGAACAAGTTACATTTTATGTGTGTGTTTATAAACCCAATTTCTGTTTGTAATGAATTTAAGAACTTGGGTAGAAATTTTGATATTGTCAGGTAAATAGAATATACACGAATATATTTACGGGTCAAGAAGTGGGGAGAGGTTGCCACCTGGTGGCTCTCAAAGGCATTTTAGTTACTATTGTTAATGTATTTCTATTTAAAATTAGATTTTCAGGGGGAAAAAATTGGAAAAGACTTTCATTAAGTGAACTATCATCTTAAGGCCATTGAAATTTTTTTCCTTTCACATATTTTTCAATTAGTATGCAGCGACTAAATTCAGAGTGTCACAGGCCAAAAATCATCCTCTCGTATCAGGGTGTTTAGACGACTTTTTATTTTCTCAAGTTCAAAGTTTCACAAAGTAGCATAGCTTAGGAGAGGGGCTACCATGTCTGTCTCCAGCTTCACTGTTGATATGCACATTCCACTAATATAGCATTTTGCAAATAATAAACACAAAATTTCACCTGTTACCTCAGGGTGCGGATATTCAAAAGCTCCTGTGATACTGAGTGCTTATGTTAGCTTATCTACCGCATATAAGGTTAATGTCTTAGAAGAGATAAAATCCTTTATTCATGGTTAGTTATTTATCCTGGGTTTTCTGGATAGCCGGATAAATGGTTCCATATTATTTTATTTGATAATTTCCAAATTGGCTTCTGTGTTCATATTTTTCTTATTTTAATATCATTTTTTTTATTCCTCACCGTTTAAATTATTTTACATCACGTTTTGATTTTAGCTAAAAATATATTTCTTTAAAACTGTTAGCACTGAATTACCCACCACCTGACAAATATATGAATAAAACGCATTGTTTTACAGCCTGTCATTTTTAATTACATAGATCCGAGATCAGCCTGTTGTCGGGCAGCTGATTCCAGACTGCTACGTAGAACTCGAGAAAATCATTTTATCAGAGCGGAAAAATGTGCCAATTGAATTTCCTGTAATTGACCGGAAACGATTATTACAACTCGTGAAAGAAAATCAACTGCAGCTAGATGAAAATGAGCTTCCTCACGCAGTTCACTTCCTAAATGAATCAGGTTTGGGTGTTCATTTGTTTCCAATTTTTTCAAAGCTTGGCTGTGGTAATTTATAAAAATGGATCTAAACCTTGCTGGAATTTATATTCAATATTTAACAGAATAGCTTCAGAATTCTTCAATAGACCACTGATGTTTTTCTTTTTGGAAGATCATCATGTGCACTGATGTTAAATCATATATCATGTCATAAGAAAAAGAAATTGGAGAACATCTAAGGGCAACCGTGGAAAGGGCAAGAGTTAAAACGTGTGGGTTCTAGAACTTGACTAGTCAGGAGCTGTGGAACCCTGAGCATAAGGCATATCCTCTCATAGTATCAACTGCATTTAGTATGTGTGCAAGTTGCTTGTCTGTAGGAAAAGAGAACTATTGGAATGGCCCAGTGGGGCACTTCGAGACTCGGTGGTTGCCTGAGACGCTGCAGCTGTGAGTGCAGATCTTGCTCTGTTACATCACACCTTGTCAACGTGCTCGCACAGAGAAGGGCTCTCCACCCGACCTCAGTGCTGAGTATGTGCTTGATCAGTGTGACCTCCCCAGCACTGTGCGAGTTGATTTGTAATACCGGGGTCAGTGGCTGGGAAGCTGCTTTTGGTCCCTAGATTCTGTTGCATGAAAAATAATTTTCATGTGGATTATAATCTGTTCCTTCTTCCCATCATTCTTTTTTTGCTTAATCGTCACTGGAGGATATTTTTCCATTATTTTTAGAGAGAGTGTAAGGGAGAGAGAGAGAGACAGAGAGAGGGAAACATCCATGTGAGAGAGACACATTGATCGGTTGCCTCCCCGATGGGGGCCAGGATTGAACCTGCAACCCAGGTATGTGCCCTTGACCAGGAATTGAACCCGACACCCTTCAGTGCACGGACCAATGCTCTATCCACTTAGCAACATCAGCAAAGGCTCTTCCCATCATTCTTTAACCAGTAGCTCCCTAGGATGTTCTATGTCTCTTACTTGTATTTGAAAAATGAGGTGTGTCTTTGTATTGTATATTTTTAGAAAGCAAAAAATAAAATTATGAATTTCTATTTATTTGTAAATATATCCTCTGCAATATATAGCATTGTCTCAAATATGCTTATAAATGATCATTGTATATTGTTAAAAAATACTTTGTTATAAAATCAGGACTTTAGAGCGTGAGAACTAGGATGCCCAGGTTGTAGCCCCAGCTCTGCCACTGACTATGCTGAAGTTTTCTCATCTGTAAGTGAGGAAGTTGGACTAAATTCTTTTTCTTGATATCTGTATAGTCTCGATTTCATGTTTCATTCTTTGATTTTTTTACTGCAGGGGTCCTTCTTCATTTTCAAGACCCAGCACTGCAGTTAAGTAACTTATATTTTGTGGAACCCAAGTGGCTTTGTAAAGTCATGGCACAGGTTGGTGTCTTATGTTTTTGTGACATGGGGGTAATGATTGAAGAGTAAACGGCACTCAGCGCGTTGAGTATTATAGAGTTGGTGTTCAGTTAAGATAGAAACTACTGTGAATATAGAAAACTGTAGAATACTTCATGTAGAAAACTGCTTAAAGAAGAGCTTCGTGGAAGAAGGGAAGGTACCTGAGGGTTCACTTTAACCTCTTTAATGTTTTTAATGACGAGTGTTTGTACCACTGTGTTCCATGGTGCTTCCCTAGATCCTGATTATATCTTTGACTTGGTTATTGACTCAGTCATTTGAATGAAAGCTTCATGAAAATCCTTGGGGTAAATATATATGAGAAAATTGGGTTGTTGAGCCTCTGAAACCTCTATCTAGACAACATGGGGGGGGGAGTTTTGACTCTTGAGAGGAATGATCTGAGTTCTAAATGCCTTTAGTTTTTGAAAACTTTGGATGGCAGTAGTAATAGCTATCTTTTCTCCATTTATATTTCATATGGAAGGTTATTTCTTCTGCCAATGATAATTACCAATGAGTTTATATTAATTAGTTATAATAATCCATCAATTTAGGCTTACTACAGAAAATCACTCAAGGAGAACATACCAGCTCAGGGTTTCTCAACATCAACACCATCAACTCTTAGGGCCAGAGAATTCTTTGTTGTGCATTATAGGATAATAGCAGCATATTTGGCCTCTACCCTGTAGATAATAGTGGCACCTTCCTAGTTATAACAACCAATAATGTGTTCAGACATTACCAAGTATTGCTGGGGATGCAAAATTACCCTTCTAAACAGAGGTGAGCTCAGGGAGGATGTCTCTAGCATGTGTATTCACTGACAATTATTTGGTTTATGACTATAATTTATAGTTTTGCATGTGGCTGTCTGGATCCCTTAAGTGATTCTGTCTTTTTACATTAGAAGTCTCTCTTCTAATTAAACCATAATGGTAATTCAATTCCCTTAGATAATCTTGAATGATAGCTTTTAAATTCCATCTAAGGTTAAAAAAAGGAACTTATTTGGGTCTAAATCCTATAACACAGAACTTGAGAGCATATTGAAACTTTATCTTAATTGGCAATTACTTGTAATGTGGTAGCTATTACTATTTTGGTAGCTATGATTAGGTAGATTTCTCATCCTTCTGTACATATGCCATGGGAAGTGTGATTTTACTCATCTGCTAAATGAGAATGGAGCCAGTCAAGTGAGTGGTGGGGAGCACCAACCCTAGAGTCATTGTGACCTGTACTCAAATCTCTTATGATACTTCACTTGAGGATATTTTTTCCATTGATTTTTAGAGAGTGCAAGTGCGGGGGTGGAGAGAGAGGAGAGACATCCATGTGGGAGAAAAACATCAATTGGTTTCCCGATTGGGGATCGAACTTGCAACCTAGGCATGGGCCCTGACTGAGAATCCATCCCGCTACCCTTAGTCCCAACCAACTAAGCCAACTGACCAGGGCCTGCCTGATGTTTTTAACTGCAGTGATGATCAAAGCTCACAGCATGGTCTCCACATTAGAATCATATGGGCTTCTTGTTAAAAAAGCAGATCCTCAAACCCCATCCCAGACCTATGGGTAGATACCGACTCTGAGTGGAGTCCAGCAAAATTCGGCAGTTACTCTGTTTGAAAATTAGCAAACTGTCCTATACTGCCTCTCTTCTCATTGATGAAAACCATCTTCTATTACATAAATATAAAGGGACATTTTTATTACAAGCTAGTGGTGATAACACAGTCTGGAAGATCATTTCCCTAGAAATATATTATCAATGAAACTGTGATAAGAAGAATGTGGGGTATGAGAGTGGTCTGTTGACTGGAGCTCGGGAAGGCTTGAGCTCCATTGGTTTCAGAGGATCTTCATAATTTCTCGTCTGAATTCACTCAGTAATTTTTTTGAGGGAGTGGATGCTTTTTTTTGAGTGGATGGTTTTTTTGAGTGGAGTGGATGCCCTACTGGGCTTCTAGGGAACATGGCTGCTAGCTAGTGAGGTTTAGGTCCTGTGTTGTATTTGACAATGTTAAAATTCTTCTGATTATTTTCATTGAGCAAAGTGACACAAAATACTTTAAATTCAAAACTTTTCAGACAGTAAATTCCAGTGATTATAAGTTTAAATCTTTCAGATTTTGACAGTGAAAGTGGAAGGCTGCCCAAAACACCCTAAAGGGATTATTTCACGTAAAGATGTGGAAAAATTTCTTTCAAAGAAAAAGAGATTTCCAAAGAACTACATGCAACAGTACTTTAAACTCCTAGAAAAATTTCAGATCGCCTTGCCAATAGGAGAAGAATATTTGCTGGTTCCAAGCAGGTAAACCAAAAATGTAAACATTTAATTTCCCTGTGGAAACTCGCCATCTGTTATATTGTTTTGATTGTTAAAATAACTCTGATCTATGATTAATGTACTGTCTTATTTTTGCTTATTGTATAAATTTTATTCTGAAGTACAACATTTACTTTTAATGAAAACATTACATTTGACATTTTAAAGATAGAGTAAGTGACTTATGTCTATAATTACTGTTTGGTTTACAGCTGTTTAAGAAAGGTAAATAGTGGAGATTATTTTGTGTGTGTGTATGTTCGTGTGTGTGTATCTCCTTACATGGTAATGAGAGACAAGTATATTAAACAAGTTCTGGGGAAGATAGTGAGTTTTTACCAGAGTCTTAAAAGAATTTATGGCAGTGAATTTTGAGAGGAGAGGGGAAACACAATGGGGACCTAATTTCTAGCCCTGTATTATAGAGACTTTTCTTACTGCTTTAGAAGCACCTGGGGAATGTTAGAAAATAATCTGACATTTAAAAGTGCAAATTGCATTGATTGATGGATAGTGACTTATTCTAAAAATAGATACACACTTTTTTCTAGGACATGCAATCTTTTCGAGTTTTATATAATCCCTTGCTTGATACTTGTCTGTGCATAATTAATTGTAATAATTTATTAGTATAAATAAGAATACTGAAAAAAATTCATGCACCTGCTACATCTGAGCATGCATTTGAATTGATTAAGTTAACTATTGAATTTTTAAAATAGGAAGGGCTTGTAGCATAAAAACATAAAAAGTACAATTGCTTAGAATATTTAGCGTCAGTTCATCAATTTCAAGTCGTAAAGCACTTTGGTCAGTGTGGTTGGGTGTTTTGTGAAGCTGAAGAATGATGATGTCGTTTTCCATTTAGTCTGTCTGACCACAGGCCTGTGATAGAGCTTCCCCACTGTGAGAACTCTGAAATTATCATTCGACTGTACGAAATGCCTTATTTTCCGATGGGATTTTGGTCGAGATTAATCAATCGATTACTTGAAATTTCACCTTACATGCTTTCAGGCAGAGGTAAGTGTTTAATGATGACAGTATTTAGAGAAGTTAGGGGAAAGCATATTAAAACTAACAGGTCATGTTCACAGTTAACTTATTTGTAAGACACCTGAAAATCAGAAAATCAGCTCATAAGACTTCAGATTGGCCATTATAAAGACTTACTCAAATAAATGTATGCAATTTGTCAAGAATAAAATTCCTCAGGTCCTCACTCAAAGCCCATTTGTTCGTATTTTAGACAATTATAAGAACTATATGAATATTTTTCTTTCTATGGCAAAGCAGATTAGAAACAATAATTTTAAAAGATGGATTACTAGGAGTTTTTGGTTTAAACATACACAGACACACACACACACACACACACACATGCACACAAATGAACAAAGGAAAACTAGGAATGACAACTGCAAAGTCCGGGAGTTTTACTCAAGTGTAACATCCTGACCCTTCAGCCCATTCAGCGTAGGGACTGTAGTAGCTCCATTCTACTGCACAATCCCTGAGCGGTTTAAGAAAAGATTGAACACAGGTCTTCAGGATGCAGCCCTTCCTGTTTCCTGAAATAAACCATATCTTACTTGCAGTTAATCAGCATATAGGTAGTTATATTGCATTAAAACATTCAGGAAGTTTTGGTTTTGTATGACTACCAACTTCTTTTTAAAAGTTATGGCAACTTATTTTTAATTCGCTTTCTTCACCTGTTAAACATTAAACTAAACTCCATGAACCTGAAATCTATCTTAGGTTATCTACTGGACATTTTGTTTATTTAATTGCAAATTTAAGGATAAAAATATTTAGCATCGTATTTAATAGCTAAGGTGAGGACTACCAATAATTATTTCAATACTTTTTTCCCCCAACACAAATATCTTTATTACTGTCATTTGGGGTATGTGCAGTGATTTTTTTCACCCTTTAATTTATCAAGTAGTTAATAATTAATGGATACTCCTGGGTCCATTTAAATTTTTTTCAGAACGAGCGCTTCGCCCAAACAGAATGTACTGGCGACAAGGCATCTACTTGAATTGGTCTCCTGAAGCTTATTGTCTGGTAGGATCTGAAGTCTTAGATAATCATCCAGAGAGTTTCCTAAAAATTACAGTTCCTTCGTGTAGAAAAGGTAAGGAAATCAATTCAAAACTTTTGATAGTACCACTGAGGAAATCTAAACAGCTTTTTAACTTCATAGTTCCTTTTTTTAAGCTTTGTGACAACGAAGTCCTGCAGGTTGGTGATGAGCTCTTCTTTGGATTATGCAGGCTGTATTCTCTTGGGCCAAGTTGTGGACCACATTGATTCTCTCATGGAAGAATGGTTTCCTGGGTTACTGGAGATTGATATTTGCGGGGAAGGAGAAACTTTGTTGAAGAAATGGGCATTATATAGTTTTAATGATGATGAAGAACATCAGAAAATCTTACTGGATGACTTGATGAAGAAAGCAGAGGAAGGTATGTGTTGATACAACTTACAGATGTTTTTAAGTGACCTTTCAGTATTACAAAGTGAGTTTTGTAATAAATGTAGGAATTATTCTTGTCCATGAGGGATGAGTTAGAGGTCACTACATTCAGTTATAGTGACAGGTCAGAAAAGTGGATCATATTTATCACCAGCAAGAGCATGTGTTCTAGAATCAGAAGAATGTTGGTTTGCAAGGATGACTATTGGCACATTGAGCAGCGTAACTTCATCTGTGAGATGGGAAGACTAACCAAAGTACTTCACAAAACTGTTAAAAATAAAAATAGATGTGATTCATGGAAATAACTCAGCAACATGTCAGCCACATAATATGGCTGACATATGCATGTGGCAAAAGTAGAGAATAGATAATTTCCTAGGCAGATATTGGCTGGTCAGGCAGTTCAGAATTCTACTTTCTAGTGAGTGAACCTAGAAATGAGGTTTTAAAATTCTGATAGATATTAATTTAACCTTTAAAACTTTCTAAAATTTTTTAGAGAAAAATAGGCGTGGTAAGAAAACCTAAAAGACTGATTGGAAATGATAGGACAGTTTTGAAACTCATAATCACAAATTTATATGCATCCTTTAAAGTTTTTTTTAATGTTTTATGTACTTCTTAGGAGACCTCCTCATAAATCCAGATCAACCAAGGCTCACCATTCCAATATCTCAGATTGCTCCTGACTTGATTTTGGCTGACCTGCCTAGAAATATTATGTTGAATAGTGATGGACTGGAATTTGAACAAGCTCCAGAATTTCTCTTAGGTAACTATTTATGTCGGTTTCAGAATAAAAATTAGGATGCAATTTTTTCCTAATAAGCTATAAAGTTTTCAAATATAATTGTATTATGTTATTTTGTGTCTTCATATATTTGTCATGATTTTTTTCCTTTGAAATGATATATTTTAAAGTAATATGTTACAGATATAGAATTTGCTTTGCACACACTCTAGTAGACTAGATTCAAGATGAGGATGGGACTAGCGTGGAAGCACATATATTTGTGAAATATATCCTTGCATTTGCTTTAATTGCCAGGGTTTGGGAGGCAAATAAAGAGATTTTCGATGGAGTGATGCAGCCATTTTTCAGACTCAAAAAGACAAAGTGGGTTGCAAGTTAGCTTTGAGGCGAGGCATGGGGCAAAGAGCTATGATAATTTTCCATTTTGACTCCATAATAATCACAAAAAGAGTTTTGTTTTTATCAGATATGTGGAAGGTGGAATAAAAACTGATTTGGAGAAAAGATCATGAATATTCCTTTTGATGGAATGTGAGATTTGGAAAAGTAGGCCAATGGAAATCTCCAACACAAAGTTGTCAGTAGAGTTCAGGAGGTAGCTTGTGAAATGTGAACGTTCTCTGTCTATAGGGATAGATTAAGTTAGGGAGCGGGTGAGGTCATTGAGTAGGGAGTGTGTAGATGGAAGACAGGGAGACTGAGGGGCAAGATCTTAGGTGCACCCTAGTTTATAGAGAAGAAGGAAGAGAAATCTTTAAAGTAGACTTGATTCAATGAAACAAGTGTGTCAGATTTATCTTCAAGCATGCAACAGATGTGATTACAACAGACATAATTTAGTTTCTCTGCTTGGACAGATTAACTTACGTGCTTTGTATTTTCTTTTCGAAAGGTGATGGCAGTTTTGGATCAGTTTATCGAGCAACCTATGAAGGAGAAGAGGTGGCTGTGAAGATTTTTAACAAGCACACATCACTTAGACTGTTACGACAAGTAAGAAAGCCAGTAACGTTACATTTGTTCATACGTTGTTAATCTCCTGGAACTCTTGTATTGCAGATGTCTGTGAAAATGCAAAGTGATGACTACATTTTCCCTAAAAGTTTACTAACGTTTAACTATGAAATAAATCCTGCTTTGTCCTTTCTTCATGGAGGAAAAACGTTTTGTTCCGTTTCTCTTGTTGAAAACAAAGAAAAGACAGTTTTCTGAGAATTCTTGTTCCCAGGCTTCACAGTTATATCCTACATGTACAGAAGAAAAGTGGGTACCTCTTTTGAGGTCTTGTATTTCAAAGAAACCAAAATCCATACACAGTAGCCCATTTAAAAACTTTTCTTGACCTCAATTAAGTCACATGTTCTTTTCTCAACAAGGACTTATATTCAAGGCAGTGCTGTGTGCTGATTGGCTTAAGCCTCTATTACTGAACCGATCACTATGGTAATAGGGTGGAAGGGTAGAATATTCCCACCTTTCCCTGAGGCTGGAGTTGGGTCAGTTCCCCCCAAAGTTGATGGACTGCATGGGTGAAGGTTGGATACCTCAGCAAAAATCAGGGTAGTCTTAGAAAGAAAGAAAGGTGAATGGATGTTGAATGCATAACCAAGAGTGGTCACTCCAGTACCCTCTCTTGTTTTGAGTACTGGTGGGGATTCATTTCTTTTTTTCTGAGGTTTTCCTGAAAGTAGGAATGAGGGAGAGAGACAGGGTGAGAGGAGTGGTAAAATCCAATGTGAATTCTGCCATCTTATACCAGAACTCAGTTGTATTTTATTTTTTTAATCCTTATCCCAGGATATTTTTTCATCGCTTTTCAGAGAGAGTGAAAAGGAGAGAGGGAGGGGAAAAAGGGCAGAGAAAAACATCAGTGTGAGAGAGACACATCGATTGGCTGCCTCCTCATGCGCCCAGACTGGGGCCGGAGATCGAACCTGCCACCCTGGTACGTGCCCTTGACCAGGAACTGAATCCAAGACCCTTCGGTCTGCGGGCCACAGCTCTGTGCACTGAGCCCCACTGACCAGGGCTCAACTGTATTTTGAATCTGTTCATCGTTTCTTTTGCACTTGATTCATTTAAAAAAATACTTTGTGCCTGAATCGGAATCTCAATAACTTAGAGAATGCGCAGTTATAATATATTAGTTACTCTGAAAAAATTAAAATAATTTTATATCTGTGTGAAATATCCTGGAGTAACTTTAATTATTAATACCAAAAGTCACACTATAGTTCTAGGTATAAGCTAACAAATATTCTGTATGCAGATCGAGTCCGTGAACCAAATCTGGGCACAATATCTTTCAATCTGTAGACGTTTTGTTATAGAAATGATTTTTCAGCCTAGGTCATTAGTCATCAATGTATGTTTCAAATTTTAGGCAATGTGCTCAGGGAACTCTGTTGGAAATCAGAACACTAAAAATGTATACAGGACTGATTAGTACAGAGGCGGCTAGGGGAGCCAAGGGAATGGTAGAAGGAATAGGAACAGAGTGTGAGTAACATGCATGTTCTTTAAGAGAGAGAGAAAAAAGGAAGGAGTCCTGGCTCAGCTGGCTGGAGTGTCATCCTGGACACCAAAAGGTTGTGGGTTCGATCCCTGGTCAGGGTGCGTATGGGAGGCAGCCGATTGATGTTTCTCACATCATTGTTGCTCTCTCTCTCTCTCTTTGTCTCTCTCTTCTAAAAAGAAATCAATAAAATCATAAATAAATTTTTAAAAAAGCAAAGCAAAGGAAAACACTTTAGTGTTTGTGCTGCCCTTAGAGGGTCATTCTCCCAGTGGTCAGGAACTGCGGCCGATCCATTGCTGTCTCTCTCTCAGTGAGCTCCTTTTCTAGGAGAAAAAATTTGGATTAGGCTCCTGCCTGTGTCTATGCAAGAAAGTAGAGTTAACTTGACTTGCTCTCATCTGTTTTATCCAACTGAGCTCATCAGACATAGGAGAAAATATATTTCTATCCTCTAAGCTTTTGTCTGGAGCCTTTGCTCTGGAAAAGCCCCTCTCAGGGCTTTCCACCTTTCTTGTTCAGCTGGCAGATTTCCGCACACTTCGGGTTCCTGATGAACGCAGTTGGCACCGATCCTTCCCGTCTTTGAAGCTGGTTGTTAGGAATCAGAGCTTCTGCAAAAGTCACAGTTGAAAACATGAATCAATTTAAAACCAGCTAAGCTATAAATTTCACCTAAATTACAGTTTCTGAGTAAAGTGAAATATGCAAAAGGAAGCGTATGTGGAATTAAAAAAACCCAGCAGTGTCATAAAGGAGATTGTAAAGTTTCCTGTGGTGTGGTCTAGAAAAAAATGGAATCAGAATGGAGACCTCTCTGTTCAGACTCATATGGCATCCCTGCTTTGGACTGGAGAGAGATTGTGGCAGGTGGGGACTGCTTTAGTTAGGGTGATCCAAGGCAGGTCACTCTGAGGAAGTGATAGTGTCTGAGCTAAGATCGGAATGGCAGGAAGTCTCCAGCTCTGTGAAGGGTGAAGGGATTCCTGGGCAGAGAGGTCAGCAAAGGCAGAGAACCTAGGGCTGTAAGAAAGGAGCTGGGCGTGAGTCGGGTTGAACCAATGCCAGTGTGGTCAAGGGGTGGTGAATGAAGAGGAGAGAGGGGATGGGCCTGAGAGGCGGGCTGGGCGAGATCAGGCCAGGCCACGAAGGCTGTGTAAGTACGTGGACTTTAATCTGAGAGCACGGGAAGTCATTAGAGAGTGTTCAGGAGAGTGATACCATCTATTTCTGAGGAGTTTTCAGATGGGGGCCATAGCATATATTTCTTAGTGCCCTCAGCAAACTTCTGGTAGTCAAACCAGAGATGACAGCCAGGTTGTGCCTCACAAGGCAGTTACAGTTGATTAGTGGTGGCAACTCAGAGTCCTGGGCTGAGAAGGATTCTGGGGCTAACTAGGGTTCAGAAGGTAAGACTGCCATGACCTATTAGCGTGACCACATGCGTGTACTGTCCCTACATTGAATATTCTGATAAAAACTGAGAAAAAGGGAAAATAGAACTTAAAATTTTAATTCACAGCATAGTTTTAAAACCAGCTGTTTATTCCTGAAAATGTGGAAAATATAGAAAAGCTCACAGAAAAACAAAGTTTTCTATAATTTAATCACCCAGAGAAAACCATGCTCAAGGTGTTGATCCACTTAAGGAAGGAGATACTTGGGTCAACACTGATGTCCTATTGCTCTGAAATGATTTTTTACTTTTGCAGGAGCTGGTAGTGCTTTGCCACCTCCACCACCCCAGCTTAATATCTTTGCTGGCGGCTGGGATCCGTCCTCGGATGCTGGTGATGGAGCTGGCCTCCAAGGGCTCCCTGGATCGCCTGCTTCAGCAGGACAAAGCCAGTCTCACGAGGACCCTGCAGCACAGGATCGCACTCCATGTAGCTGACGGCTTGAGGTAACTCATTAGGTCATGTGGTTTCCCACGCGGCACATGACGAGTGTCAACCCAGACTTACTCCCAGGCTCTGAGAACAGCACTTCCCACCAATGATGTGTCCTGTAACATTTCCAAAAATATTTGGGTGAAAAACTACCATTTCCCTGATTGACTTTGAAAATTTGATAAAACCGGAGTACAAACTCTCTGTGGGGCCTCCTAGCTAGTGGTGGTAGAGTTTGAGCCCAGGCATCCTGCTCCAGAGCCCGTGATCTTGCACTGACCAATCTCTTCTAAAAAACTAAAGACCATCATTCAATTGTCAAGGAAAGTGCCAGCTAGCATGGGTGATTACAATAGCAAAGGTGAGTCCATATTTCTGAAAGCGACTAGAGAGATGTGGGTTGTTCAGATCCCTGCTCCACACACTTGGTATCTGTGACTTTATGTCTCTTGATTATTTTGAATAGTCTGTAAACGGTGACTACTTTTTGTGATAATCGAAGACAGCCCAAGTTAAAGCCTTGGTTTTCCCACCTTCCCCAGCTCCCATCTTGTCTCTTCGGTGTTTCCCCTTGGAGCCACCCCTCATTCCTTTCTTCTCTCACATCCCACACTTAACCCTCCGGCAGATGTTTTCAGCTCTGCTGCCAAAATACATGTGACTGCAGCTCCTTCTCCTAACTTGTCCCAGCTCCAGCCTCCCAGCCCCTGTCCTGTCCGCACCGCTGGCCTCCCCTCACCTGAGCCTCAGATAGTCTGTTCTCTGCCGGGGAAGTTGGACCAAGTCGACCTCCTGTCTTCAGCCCTCTCCGGCCTCCAGTTCTGGTCGCTGTGCTCAGCCCCCCGCCTCCTGAGGTGTCTTGAACACGCCAGAGCTTTTACCCCAGCCCTTCACCCCACCAGGGTGGGATAGCCCTTCTAGCCGACTGGCTCGCTTCTCGTTTCATTCAGCTCTCTTCTCAGAGGGGATGTCTGACCACCTCACGCCTTGCTAGTACCTATACTACTTACTGCAGACTGGGATTCTTTAGCTTTTTATTTTTAAAAAATCCTGTCTCATCTGTCTTTGCCACTAGAGTCCAAGGGTCACAATAGCAGGAACGTTTCGTGTCATTCACTGTTGCATCCCCAGCACCTAGAACAGCGGGGCCTTGGTCACTATGTGTTAACACTGGGGAGAGAGGGAGGAAAACAGCGCCTGGCAGAGTTGCCACACAGTGAACGCAAATTTCCTTCTCTTTTTTCCTTTCTGAAATAGTGAGTCTGTTCCTTTCAGGCAGTATCCAGAAAGGTAAATGGAATGGACACTGAGGAAAACAAGTGAACACTGCTCACAAACAAAAATACCCGAGGATTAACTCTTAGTAACACACAGATAATATAATAAGTGCATAAAATAAGTAGACTCCCCTTCCTGAAAGAGTCCAGAAGCCACTGTAAAACATACAGATTATTAAATGAAACAGGAATGCAGATTTGGGTTTGGGTTGATATACCTGCTTTTGAACACCAGGGGGACCCTTATGTTAATCTAGATAAAGTGCAACTAGGCCTCGTGTTTTAGAGCTGCCTGGGTCACTTTGCTTAATTGAACTAACTCCACATCCTAGTTCCCCCCCTAATTCTTCCATATAATCCCCAGACTGCTTATTTATAAAATGGAGAATCGTTATTTTTTTATTCACCACTGTTTAAAAGATGTCATCTCTAAAATAACTTTTTCTGGTTCTCTGAGACCTTACTTTAAAAAGCAAATCCACTAGTTTCTGATGAAGTAAATGAAATCTCAGCATATTTTCCTGTGATTTGCTTGATTTGTTCTGAGCATAATGTCAAGACACCTCTCTGGATCTTGTGACCAAGAGGGTAGCAGATATCAGTAGCTATCAATCTTCCACCGGCACTAAGTAAAACTCAGCATTAAGGTTTGTCTTTCCAGATATATTTTAGCATAGAGCTATATATACAGAGGTAGAAAGAGGCAGTGAAACCACACTCCTTTGGCATCCCTTTAGTGATGGAGCTGTTATAGTGACATGCAAGCACTTCTGCTGCTTCACCTTACAGGTTCTCTGTTCCACAGGCTTGCCTTAGTTAGTTTACATCTAACTTAGTTAGATGTTAGTTTACATCTTTACTTCAGTCTGCTTCTTGGAGCTTTGTCATAATTCTCAACTACCAATGAAGATATAGTCACTTATATTTCCCATAAATTTCTATATTTCAATACATTCAACATTGATTTACTTTCTCTATTACTTCTGCTCCCTGTCAGTCTTTTCTCTCTCTTGTATCTCCTGCTTGCCAACAAAGATCCTTGTGGTCACTTCCAGACCAACCCCCTTCCCAAAAAGTAAGTATCCATTTGTCCACCAGATTTTGTACTGTTTGACATCATGATTTTTTAAATCATTTCATTTATTTTTGTTCTATTACTGTTGCCTTGGTCTAGTACTTCCAGGAAATTATCAGAATATTTCTGCTAAAATAAAAATATAATTATGCTTGAGATTTCCTGGTGGCTTCAGGTTATCTACAGAGTGCCTCCGAATTCTTTGGTGTAGCATCAGAACTCTTTATGTGTGCCGTGTGCCTGCCTCTCTAGCCTCCTGCCACTCCGCTGCCCTCACTCTACATTCTAACCATGCTGGAGGTCTTGACATTTCATTGACATCCATGTCTATCTTTGCATTTGTCATTCCTCTCTTTCCACAAATTAGTCTGCCAAGAGAACTCCTTTTCTTTAGAATTCGCTCACATACTATCTGTGCAATGAAGCTCAACGGCACCATGAACAGTCGGCCTCTGTACACGTTTCTTGTGTCCACTCCATGTAAGACTTGGTGTTAGGGGCTGAAGAGGGGAAAGTAGAAATGATATTATTCTTATCAACATAAATATTTACAGTATAGTGGGAGAGCCTGCTTTGCTATCTTTACCTCTGTGCTTTTCTCTCTCTGGCTTCCCTAGCATTGCACTCACTGTATTTCTGCAGCATTGTTAGAGCCCCTATTTCTCCTTTTAGATTGTAATCTCTCAGGATACACTGATGGTGATCATGATGAATGAATGACTGTGTTTAGACTAGTTTTTAATATAAAGTATCTAATAATGCTCATTGTCACATATTGCATAAATTGTGGCTGAAATGTTTTCAGTAAGGCAAGACCTGCACTTGTCACTATTTCAAACGTTATTTTGCTATTCTATTAAAAGTTCTTAAAACTGTACTTCCAAAGATTAAATTCTATAATTGAACGTTTTAAGTAACCCAGATAATCTTTTCTTCCCACTGACATTATTCCAAATTAAGTTGAGCTGTTTTTTTAACCTCTGCGAGAGTTCTGAAAGTCTGTGTTCTGTGACTGTTCTGTAAGAGGTGTGCATTCTGAAGGGTTTGGATGCGATTCAAGGTGCATTACTTGGCTTTAAATTTCTTCTTAATCTCCCAGCTTTCTCTTCAGCAGGGCAGAAGTGAGTAATGGCCTTTCCGTAAGCCCTTAGTAAATTTTTCTTTCATGTCCATTACTTATTGTTAAGGTCAAATTCATTAGTACATTTATCTTATTTTTCAGCCAAAAATATGTATACCGAAAAGAATAGGCCTAATGTCAACCGCCCTAACTACATCCTGGAAGAGAAAGACTCTTCAGCTGCATTAGTTGATGCAATTCAACGATGCATGCACTCTAGGCCACCATGCAATGGAAATTTCAGGGCGTTGCTTCCACCCTGCTCCTCCTAGTCCCTCTGGCAGTGATTGATACGAGATAATGGAGTAAATATTTACTGATATAATGGGATCCCAAACTAGAAACCACAAACAAACAAAAGATTTATCTTTACCTCAATTCAGAACTGTGAAAAATTGTTCCTGCAATGTAGGTCTTGATAAATTTGTAAGATTACATGGAGAGCTATAGCAGATTTGACATTGTAGGACAGGGAAGACAGTTGGGGCAAGTCTGAGCTTTGTGGATGTGGAAGGAAAGGCAATAGTAGTTACTTTCATAGCTGGAGCACAGTAGTAGCCCTCTGGCCACGTTTCCAGAATAGACAAGACCTGGTTGAGTTGAAAACTTCATTTTGTTTTTTACAAATAATGCTGCAATGAACATAGGGCTACATGTATTCTTTTGAATTAGTGTTTGGGGTTTCTTCGGATAAATTCCCAGAAGTGGGATCACTGGATCAGAAGGCAGTTCCATTTTTAATATTTTTAGGTAACTCCAGACTGCTTTCCACAGGAGCTGCAGTGATGGGGGGGGGAAATGAAATAAAATGAAAACAACAACAAAAAACCCCAAACAAACCCTTTATTTTGTTTTTATATTAACTAGTTTTGAACCTTTATCATCAGTATCCAGCTCTAGTTGCCTGTGGTTGAATGGCTTTAACATAACCTTTCCCAAGAAAATGTTTTACTTACTCCAACTCTCATCCAAAATGTTATTTGTCAACCTTAATTTGTAATAGAATTGGGTTTAAAGTAAGTTAGGTCTTCAAAAGAATACAACATTGATAGTTAGGAAAGCGTTTTATTTTGAATTGTTGTTATTGAAAAGCAGAAGATATTTTCCAAAAATTAGGAAGGATTTTAGTCAGAAAAAATAAATATCAAAAGAGAAATGGAGTTGAGAGAGTGTAAAAATCTTAGATAAATTTCTATATGGTTTTAAGAAAATGGAAACTATTAAGTAAATGGGAGTCACAACAATATCCTATCAACTTTTACTAAACATATTTACATTTTAAACTAATTGTAATACTCATATGATCATTGAGGAAATTTAGAATTCCTTTTAAGTAATTATTAAGGTATATGAAAGAAAAGTCTCCAAAAACTGGTAAATTTGTTTAAAGTGGTTGTGCCTTAAGTATAAATTATTCACTTATCAGGATTGATCTGTTTTGATTTTATTGTGTGTGTGTGTTGAAGATAAGCTTGCTTTATAGGATTGGACTTCCTTCTCTTAACTTTGAGGGTCAAATTTGGCACAGAATTTTTAATGTTTTGCGTAATGGACATACATATTTCAGGAAATCATGACAAAGCTTATAATCATGTAATCACATTTTAATAAGATTACCTGTGCCCCTTCTGGCAGATACCTCCATTCAGCCATGATTATCTACCGTGATTTGAAGCCCCACAACGTCCTGCTCTTCACCCTGTACCCCAATGCTGCCATCATCGCCAAGATCGCTGACTACGGGATTGCCCAGTACTGCTGCAGAATGGGGATCAAGACATCAGAGGGCACACCCGGTAGGTGGTGGGGTTCGCTTGACAGTTCCCTCTTCCAGGTGGGAACCGGTGTCTTCAGTTGCGAGGTCAGGAGAGCGAAGAGAACCCCGGAGCCTGTGTCACTGTGTACAGAGACTGTACTTATTGTCTGAACAGTGGTGACCGGTACATTATAATTTTGATCACTGTATTCTGTAGGGCAAAAAAAAAAAAATCAACTGATGTGATTTTCAAGGGGGAAAAAACACACAAAAAAGAGAGACTATTTTGTGTCAAGTTATATATTAAAAGTTGGACTTTTAGAACGTTTACGTACTCTGGAGATGGTAAAAAGGAACAGCAGAAGCTCCACCTGGGGACTGCTGACCCCTACCTAAAGATGGGGCAAGCTGGGTTCAGGTTCACACACCCGTTTTCGTAACTCGGAAGCAGCTCAGGTATTGGCAGGGACCGCAGGGAGGCGTCTGTCCACATGTTGAAAGGTAAACATGGGATGGATTCTTTCAACTTGAAATAACTTGGAGACCTTTAACTCTAACTCAGACAAATGGATATATTATATCCTGTTGGGGGTGACAATTCTGGATCCCGTGACAGTTGTGCTATTGACTGAGATGGTTGCTGACTGATGGTTTCAACTCATCCATAGAAATACAACAGTCTTTGGGTAAATAAAAATGTGAAGTCTTTGCTTATACACTATTATCTGATAGAGATTATGAAACAGGTTCTACTCATACTTCTCTGAAAGTGAAAAAGGAAAATATATGCATCTGTGCACTATGTGAAATATGGTAAGACACCGTTCATAAATTTCTCATATTTTGATCTATGCATGTTTTCTTTATACACTCATTGCATTTGTTAAATCAGGCTTATCTGAAAAATTATTTCTAAAAATAGTTTTTAGACATGTTTTAGATGTGAGTCATACTGCCCCCATTATTTTAACGTAATTGTTATGATAAGTCTCCAAGGGAAAATGATCATTTATTGTTTATTTATTCATGCATTTGGTAATAATTTATTGAAAGTTTACCAAATGCCATAACTGGTGCTGCGGCTTAATAGCTGTTTGGTGTTCATTAAGACTCACTTTCTGGGGCTCAGTTTTCATTGCTGTACATTGTGATGAGGAAAATAATGCCTATCTCATGGGGTGGTTGGGGTGAAATGAGGTAATCATAGAAATAGCATAGAACAAGGTCTGTCATATTGCAGTTGCCCCGAGTATGTTAACAATTACTCTAGTGAATTTCAGAATTAATGTGTGTGAATTATGTTACCCTCCAGAAGCACACATCCCGCCAGGAGAAATCAAGCTGGAAGTGAGTCATCATACAACGCTGTGTCAGTGTCAGTAGGGGATCTACTTCAAGGTCTAGCGACAGCCCCAAGGAGCGAGTGATCCCCTGAGCTGGGCGCCGTCGGGGCTTCCTTCATAGGGAAGGGGACTCTGGGATTATATCTTACAGATAAGCTGGAGGCTGGAAAAAAGGGAAAAAAGAGTAGAAGGAGACATTCGGGCAAAGGGTAGTAAGGTTGTCTTATTCAGATAACTGCGGGAAATCTGGTGTGGGGCTAAGTGGTAGATGGAAGACGGAGGGCTGTTTAGTGAGGGTTTTTCAGTTTCGGCTGTTCGTTAGATAACATGCAGAGCTTTACAAAATGCGTTCACTGGGGCGGTAGCCTTTCCAGTTCTGTTTTAGTAGTTGTGGAGAGGGGCTCTCAATCTGGCCCACGTTAGAAGTTCCTGAGAGTAAGTAAATATGAACAGAGTTTAGACTTATTTTCAAATTTTAAAAAGCATTGCCATTTCTTTACATTAATCTTTCTTGGTGGTGCACATCCGAGGCACTGTAGTGGATTCTGAAGCTGCTGGGGTACTGGCTGTCTGTAATATATTAGACTGGAGACATTCCCAGCTTTTCTCCTGGGTGAGGCAATAGGACCTAATAATAGCATTTATCTTAGGGGATTGTTGTGAAAATTAAATGAGAAATCCATATAGTGTTTATCACGGTGCCTGGCACAGTCCTAGCTACCTTTGCTTTCTTGGACTTTGCTTTGTCTTCTCAACTCGGGTGGCGAGCAGGAGGTGGCTCTGTTTGCATTCCCCTTCCCTGCACTCTGGGCTGGAACTCTCTGCGGGGCCCTCAGGACTCACCTTGTTTGTTTGCTCTCTCTCAGGATCACTGTCATGTGCTCCTGGTGTCCAGTGTTTCATATATTTTGTCTGGTTACTTCACTCTTCTATGCGGGATGACAAATCTAGTCCAATGTTATGCCGTCTCTGCTAGAAGCAGAGTAACACGTTTAAATAAATGACAACAGCGTACATTTAGGAATTCAGTTAGCGCTTGTCATCTCTCGCCTACCAGGGTCATCAGTGCTAAACGGGTATCCATACAGCATGGTCCTGTGGCACACGAGCGTCACAGATCAGTCACAGCCCTGCTTCGCAGATCTTGTGGCAATATTGCCCCTTTGTAAAGATGCAGGTGGTGTTCCTATTTCTAGTCTTTCCCAGTGGCAGGTAATATTAAAAGTGTTTATTTTCATCCCAATTAAATTCAGTGGTGAATGCAATGAATAACTTGGAAGTTTATTCTCCCCATTACTACTATGGTGACAAGTACAGTTAAAATATTTATATAAGGGAAACATTTTATAAGAACTTACAATTGCTGTTCCAGGGAAGTCCTCAATGGTAAAAATACACCTATTAGGGATCTGTTTTAGAACTATCTTAATTACTTACACAATTCTTTAGCTTAGGGTTTGAGAATGATGTTATGACTATGTAAGAAAAATGTTCTTATTCTAGGGAAATACATGTTATTGTTAGGGCTGAAATATTGTATCTAAAACAATATAATATGCCAAATATTATATATGTTGTATATAATGTTATATGGCATATAATAAAGATACATATGTTTACTGTTATATATTATATGTATCTGTGTGTATGCATACACACAGGAAGAAAAAGTGGGACAGAGAAGATAGACAAATGTGGGAAAATGGTAACAGTGAGTGTGTGTTTGTGTGTATGCATAGAAAGAAAAAGAGAGTGAATAAATGTGGCACGTTAACTAGAGAATGCTAACGATGAGTACAGTAGGGGGGTCATGCTCCGCCTCGATACCTCCGTCCTTTCACTCCCCCTGACCTCCAGCCTGGCGAAGGACCGCTGAGCTGCATCTTTTGGCTGGTAAGCTCTCTGTCAACTGGAACTGTTTCCAAATTTAATCATTTACTCATTGAAAGCCGTGAATGGATACTCTGTTGTTTTCCTGGCTGTATATTATAACAATCATATATGATCATTGTAGAAAATTCGGAAGTATTAGAAGAAAGTTAAAACTAACCATAATTTCAGCACAAGGAAATAATCATTATTACATTTGGATGTATTTCGCTGTGCACATTCTCATCAATGTTTATTTTGAAAATGTTTAAGCCTACAGAAAAGTTGGAAGAGTAGTACAATATACGCCCATAGACCTTTCATGTGAATTCATCGATTAACTTTTGCCACACTGTTCTCTCTCGCTCCCTGTGTATGTGAATATGAGTCTTTGGAATTAAGTTGCAGACATCATCCTGTGTCATCCCTAAACACACTGGCATGTATTTCCTTAGAATCACGGTATTTGTTTACATAATCACAGTACCATCACAGCTAAGAAAATTAATTCAGTTGAGTTTTGTTGCATATTTGATAAACTTTGGTCAGAATTATATCCTACATTTTCTTTTCATGTACATTATAGTATATAATCTTAAAATGATTTTTAAGTCGCTGTATGGTATACATTTAACCACTTTTATGGTTGGAATTCTTTAGATTGTTGACATTTTCGTTATTATGAATAATGTTGAAATTACTTTCTTCTGAAGAATTTAAAAGCAGTGCATCCCTATGGTGGAACGAAAGGTTTTATTTCCCTTTAAAAGAATTTCAGGCATTAACTAACACCTGAGAAAGAGGGATTTCATTTGTTTTAGACATAATTTCATTTTTATTTGTTTATTGGGTAGAAGGAACAGAGTTACATGTTCTCAAAATAATGAGGGCATTGGAGTTTTAGCCAAGTTAATCTGACTTGGAGTGAAGTCTGGAAGTCTCCCTCCTGACCCTTCCTCTGTTTGAAACACTGCCCTGGGAATAGCTGTTATTAGGAATGAGAAAAATATTATCGGGTCTTTCCCTGTCAATCTCATTTCTTTAACTTTGAAACATTCCTTAGTGATTCATTACTGGACGTTTACCCTTCTTATTCCTCAAGATCAGCCTCGGTGTGAAAGGCCCTCGGACTGGACTGTTAGCTGCTTGCCCAGGCGTCCCTGCAGGGCCGTGGCCGGCTGGAGCTCCCCCCAGCCTCTTCACTGGCGCCCGAGCGCCGGCTCGGGCCGCTGGCTAACGTGCCTGTTTACTTCCAGGGTTTCGTGCGCCCGAAGTTGCCAGAGGAAATGTAATTTATAACCAACAGGCTGATGTTTATTCATTTGGTTTACTACTGTATGACATTTTGACAACTGGAAGTAGAATAGCAGAGGGTTTGAAATTTCCAAATGAGTTTGATGAATTGGCTATACAAGGAAAGTTACCAGGTAAGTTTTATTTATCTACAATGGATTAAAAAAAAAAAAATCTGCAGCTTCATTTTTAAGTTATTTAATTGTAGTTGTGTACTTAATTCATTTCACAGGTGATACTTTTTTTGTCTAGTGCATGAATAGTCTTAAATCCTGTGACACAAATAACAATCACATGAGCATGGTAGCAGTTTTAGGCTTTTTTAAAACCCAAAATTGATATTGCTGTATTTGACATGTTAGGAGAATGCTCAGAACAGGGTATTTCTGTTAGAACTTCAGGTTTAGTGACTTCTGTTCCCATAAAAAGTTACTGTGTGCCCATTTGCCTGGAATGTTTTCGTTTTCTTGGAGTGAAATAATTTATATGCAGGAATGGAAGTTTGAATTATAATAATAATTTTTAGTAGTAAATATTTATAAGAATTAGTGAATGAGTATTTAATGAGTTCAAACTTCATTTTGGATGGTTGTCTCATACTTTTAAGAAGTTCTAGAACTTTTTCATTCATTCTTTGAGTATTACTTCAGTTTCCAGGACAAAGTACTCTTTTAAATATATTTAGTTGTTTCCTATATTTTCTGCTTTCCCTGTCATTTAAGAAATATTTTTGAGTGTACACTGTGTGCCAGGTACAGGGCTATAGCTTTAACTGTCTTCTTTTGGGGGACTTTAAAGATTTCCAGCAAAAGAAATTTATTCTCATTTGGATAAACTTTACACATAATCTGGGTCATGCCCCCTAGTGTCCAGGTTTCTGTTCTCCCTCAACCAGAAGAGTGGCATATCTCTTACAAAAAACAAACATGTACAAACTGACTGCAGGGAGGATTAATATTCAAATAAAAAGTACTTCCATAGGAATCTAATTACTATATAAACAAAAGTATTTTCAAAGTCTGTGTGAAATGCAGGTATGGAATGAAAATACATTATTTTATTCAACTGGTATTAGTGTCTTTTTACCATAAGAAATTAATAAATCTTTCTTAATGTCTCAAGCAGAGATAATGCTAACAAAATTAACTTTTGTGATAAGTAGATTGATAAATAATACAGGATTATGAAGATCAGTGTTTTGCAATATCTGGGTCTTTTATGTACATTGAGTAGAAATAAATGTTATGCTTTGTCTAACGTTCTAGCATGTTCTTGAATGTTTTAGATCCAGTTAAAGAATATGGTTGTGCCCCATGGCCGATGGTTGAGAAGTTAATTAAAAGGTGCTTAAAAGAAAATCCTCAAGAAAGACCTACTTCTGCCCAGGTATTATTATAGTCAAAAGTTATCAATATTTTGTACAGAACATCAAATACATACACATAAGTGAACACATTTGTAAAATCTTCACATATACATGCTCAAACATATTAATAAACATCTACACATTTCAGAACAGTTATAAAGCAAAGTCCTATGTCCTCCAGCACCCGAGACACACAGTAAAAGACCCTCACCCCCACCCCAGTAGCCTCCATATGCCCCTCCCTGAGCGCATCACTCTCCTTTCCCTGCAGATGTAGCCACTTTCCTGGCTTTTGTGATAATCCTTGCTTTTCTTTATGATTTTGCCTTTTGGTTTAGTTTCCTGTATTTGTAGATTTAAAATGGAATCATAACTGTGCAGTGTCCTGAGGTTTTTCAGTTATTCCCCTAACACCGTTGTGCAAGCTTCATTCAGGTTGCTGCACGTAGCTGTTCACTATTTTCACTGCTATTCCATTCCACTGTTTGAGTGCACAGCAGTGTGTTTGCTCATGGTCATGTCCATGGGTATTGGTCTTGTTCCCAGTTTTTTACTATTATGAACAGTGCAGGTTGTATGAAAACTGCTTTCTGGCATATACGTAGGAGTTGAATTGCAGAATCATAGGATATGTGGATATCCAACTTGTTTTCTGAAGAAATTTAACAGCTTTCATCACCTATATTAGGGCAGCTATTTCTCTATGTCTTTTCCTTAAATTTTGGTACTACCTGACTTCTTATTTTTTTCTAAATAAGTGCAGTCTTGTATATTGATTTACACTTTTCTAATTACTGATAAGTATTAAGCATCTCTTTATATGTTAATTGGTCATATATGTTTCCTCTTCTAGGAAATGCCTGTTCTTTTGCACATTTTTCTGGAATATTTGCATACAAATGAAATAAGAAAAAAACATTCTTTATAAGTATATGCTAATTCTTTGTTCATTATATATGTTGCAAACTTCTTTTCCCAATTTGGTTTGCCTTTTTATTTCCTGTAGGGTGCATTTTGATGAGCAGAATTTATTAATTTTAATATACATAAATTTAACAATTATTTTTATGGTTATTACTTTTGGGGTTCTATTTTAAGAAGTACTTATCTCTTCTAGAGTCGCAAAAATATTTATTGATTTTGCAAAAAGCTTAAAAATTTTGCTTTTGATGTATAAGTTCTTAATCCATCTGGAACTGACATATTTTACTAGATTCAATTTTCCTTTTTCCTTATGGATAACCAGTTTTTGCAGCTTCCTCTAGTAAATATTTTCTTTCTTTTTTCCCCATTGAATTTTTTCCCATGCTCACTCTCTGATTTGTCAAAGATACATGTGCGTATTGATATACACATTCTCTTCCATTGGTCAGCTTATCTATGCTTTCTCCAATACTATCCTGTTTTAATTCCTATAGCTTTATAATAGTCTCCTTTCCCCCACTTAGTTATTGCCTTGAGGAAGGCTTTAGCTTTTCTTGCATTTAACTTTTCCATGTACATTTTAAAATAACTTTGTAGCTTTTATAAAAAACTCTCTTGTGCTTGGGATTGGACTTGCATTGAGTCTGTAGACAGTTTGGGGGGGGATTATATCCTTATGATATTAAATATTTCTCTTCTTGAATGTGGGTTATCTCTCTATATAGGTCTTAAGTGGCTTTCAGTAACGTTTTATAATTCTGCATAGAGGTCATGGACATCTTTTTCTGGTTTTCCTTGCTGCGAATTGCTTTAAACTAAATTCCAGGCTTGAGATTTTCTTTTTTAACCCACCCAGGTGATGGGAATCAAGTTTATAAATTTTCTTGACAGCATGCTTGTGACTAACAATTTCTTAGAGTTCTTTTGCCCAATTCCTCTCTCTCTGTAAAGTCCCAAGGCAACTTCCCTTGTACCAGTGAAAGTGGGAGCGTGGGGTGGTTTTATTTCTGGTTTTCATTTACTCTGAACATGCAGCCCTTTGAGGTCCCAGCTCTATGGGAACCAAGACCTTTATTAGACTCTATATTGGGTAGGCCCTATATTTAAGCTTCTTTCCTACTGGCCCCATAAGTTATCCAAAACCACACCAATTTTGCCTTTAGTAGACAAATGCCTTTAGGAGATTTGTCTTTAGTGTTCATCTGATCTCTCTGTTTTCTGTCTTTCTATGATTTTGGCCTGGTAATTTCTTACGGTGTTGACAGATTTTTAATGTTTTCAAGAGGTTAAAAAATAATTTTTTAAACATTTTAAGTTGTTTTTAGCTGGAAGGCTTTCCAAATAACCTCTTCTAACATATTATTGGAAACAGAACACTTACTATGTTTTTAACTGAAACAGAGTTATATAGATCAAAATAAGAGCTGTCTTTATGTTGTGGAGTCTTGATTTTATATAATAATTATTGCAAAATTTTTGTTCAGCTTAATTTTTCTACTCAAAAATAGCTGAATACATCTGTACCAACTTTATCAAACATTATATAATCATTTTGGCTACTAACCCTACTTGTTCTTTAATTTTGGTTACCACTGGTCTTAATCACACACATACCTTGAATTTCTTTTAGGCATTATTTAAAAACTTTGACATATTTAATTAATCTTTAAAATATAGTGTATATTAAGCAAGATGGGTAAACTCATCACCTTTGTTGGATGAGGTACTGAGATAATAAGGAGCTTTTTTGGGGTCTCATGAGGGGCAGGCTAGTGGCTATGTCACGGGCTCTAATTTCAGTTTCCTGACTCCTGGCTCTGTTTTCTTACAGAGGCTCTACGCTGTCTCTCTAGCTCTTTAGTGCTTGAAGGAAAAACATAAAAACAGAATCTAGAGGTGATTTGTGAATTTTGTTACCAAAGATCAAAATTTATTTTCCCTTCATCCAGTAGCAGGTCTCTTGCATTGTAGGCCCAAGTGTTTATCTTCAACATGATGTGACTGTGGTATAGCATCAAGTGACCCTGCTAAATTTCTGTCTTTGGCACATTTCAGATTTTTTCAAGTTACAAAACATACCATATATAGAAAAAGAGTATAGATTATGCACAGTTTAAAAATATGTAGTATTATTTTTTAAATTAATTTTTATTGTTGAGTATTACAATACCCATTTTCCTCCTTCCCCCCTCGTATACCAAGCCCCCCACCCC